TGCAGCAATCCCTTGCCCAGCCAGGCCTTTCGACCGCGTTGGAATCGATCTGAATGGGCCTCTGCCATTGACGGCTTCCGGAAACCGTTGGGTCGTTGTCGCTGTCGACTACTTGACGCGATACGTGGAAACAGCCACTTTGCCTGCTGCCACAGCACGCGACGTATCATCTTTTCTTCTGCGGAACTTCATTCTTCTGCCGAACTTCATTCTCCGCCACGGCGCACCACGTGAATTTCTTAGCGACAGAGGACGTGTATTCCTCTCTGAAGTCATCAACGCACTCCTTGCCGAATGCCATATTATTCACCAGACTGCCATCGCCGACCGTCCGCAGACGAATGGATTGACGGAAAGATTCATCCATACCCTAGGGGACATGCTATCTAAGTATGTTGCCTCAGACCACTCCGATTGGGACCTCATTCTGCCTTTTGTGACATACGCATATAACACTGCTCCACAGGCGACTACGGGCTTTTCGCCATTTTTCCTGTTATATGGCCGAGACCCTTCCACCACACTAGATACCATTCTACCCTACCACCCTGATTCCTCCGAGTCTACACCTATCTATGAAGCTGCCCGCCGCGCCGAGGAATGCCGTAAGCTCGCCCAGTCGTTTATAACCACCGACCAATGAAGACAAAAATCTTGACGTGACAATAACCAGCCGTACCCTAACTTTGTTCCGGACACTCTTGTGCGGCTTTGGGTTCCCGCTGTCCCTACAGGCCTTTCCTCGAAGCTTGTTTCAAAATACCAAGGACCCTACCGCATTGTCTCGCAGACTTCACCTGTTAACTACATCGTCGAACCAGTTACGCCATCCACAGACCAGTGCTTTCGGGGTCGTGAAACCGTTCACTTACAGAGGTTGAAACCTTATTACGATCCGCTCGTACTCTGTTCTCTGTGAGTCGCCAGGAAGGCTCCTTTTGCGACAGGGGACGAAATGTAGTGAAGAGGAATGCCCACTGCTGTAGCGACATCGACACAATGGCGCGAGGCGCGAGCTAAGGCTGCCTGGTTGCTACTGCAACGCTGCCCGTATACTCGGCCTGCTCTTGCTGCTTCTGTACCAACGCTGCTACCGCTTTTGACCTTGCATCCTTGCATTTACATTATAATGTGTATATATATATATATATATATATATAATCCCTGTGCAAGACAGTAAAATTTCAAGAATGAAGTGCATAAAGTGCAATGATGTGGCCACTTCCCTTCTCACCATACTCAGAAAATACGGGTATTCTTCCATTACAATCTTCAAAACATTAGTCTAGACAACATTGCAGCGATGTCTTCAAGGACTTGGACTTAGCTGTAAAATATGGGTTGAGAAATTATATTTAGAAAAAAAAAAAGTCCTGATTTTCAGTTATTTTATGGCTTCGGTCAATCATATTGATTGATATGTGAAGTTTAACATCCCAAAACCACCATATGATTATGAGAGGCACCGTAGTCAAGGGCTCTTAAAATTTCAACCGCCTGGGGTTCTTAACGTGCACCCAAATCTGAGCATACAGACATACAGCTTTTTTGTTTCCATCGAAAATGCAGGCATGGCAGCTCGGATTCGATCCCGCGACCTGTGGGTTAACAGCCGAGTCCCTTAGGCACTAGACCACCGCGGCGGTTGGTCAATCATGTTAGTGCTCCTTCATTTATATTAACAACTTTCCTACTTTAAGTATGGTAATTACCCTCTTGAACATAAAATTTGCATGCAGTTAGTAAGACATGAGGTAATGGCGAAGTGTGCATAGGGTATGCCAGAAAAATTGGTTGGCTGGGGTTCATGTGTGTTTTCTTCTTTTTATCACTTTAAACGCTGTCAATTTAACATAAAATTAAGCAAAATAATCGGTGTTCTTCAAAAGGCACCATATGTCTACACTCGAACCGAGCAAGATGAGCATGCAGTGTGTTGGCGAGATTACGTCTTGAGGAGGACGCTCGCAGGCGAAATATGTGATAAGGATGCTCAGTTTGTGGCAGCATAAAAAACAACATTGTGGCCTGATAAGGATGCTTGCTTTGACAGTAAGACATAAATGGCGTGTCACACATAGCGCCTGAAAAAAGCACAACCCGCTCTTTGGCCCTTTGTCTTGGCAAAGTGCCAGTAACGCTGTTTCCTGTTAAGGGGGGACACGGGTCTTCGAAGGCCATAAATTGCAAAAAAATCGACTTTTTGAAGCTGACATTTTCGAAATCTGCACCTATTTTTGCACTTATCTGAGAAGTTTCTAGCTTCTTGCATCATTATTTCTGGCGCAAAATCAATTTGTAACATCCCTGTGAGATAGATGTGAGCACAAATTGACGCTAAAATCGCGGCTTTTTTTCACGCCAAACTGTTGCCGTTACACACGAGCTATCGTGTTCATCTTGGTCTCGTTTGGAAGGGTCGTTCTTCATCTTCAATTTCCCGCCACTGCTGGCTCACCTTGCTCATTAGTTTTTAGCAAAAACGCGTCATCGAGAAGCACTAGCGCGCGATTCAATTGGCTGCTAGGGGCACGTGACCGAATTTAGGTATCCGATTGGCCAAGGGGCGCTTTCGGCGTCTGCTTCACCATCGTGACACGCACGGGCACGCTCCATTTTGTCATGGTGCTACTGACTGCTTGCGGCAGTAAAGAAGTTTCGTGCTACAGTAATTTGTGAAGCGGGTGTGGCGGTCGTTCGTTCGCTGTGAACTTCAGAAAGATTCCCGCTATGGCTCAAGACAACGAGGATAACGAACTCGACGTGGTCAACGGCGGTCGCCGAGTCACCGGTGTGGGCCTAACTCACGTACGAGCCCATTGGTTGCTGACAACGTTACTGAGAACGGCTGTGTTTTGCAGCCTCATCAGTTAGAGGACGGCAAGTAAAAAGCAGAAGTGAAGCTATCAGAGATATAAATCTTTGTAGTGACGGAACGGAAGTGCAGTCTTATCGCTAAACCCGCCGATATTGTGGTTCCCCCGCCTGACGAAAGGACCTTGAACTGCGCGACGGGTCATCAGAGTGGAGTACGCCGCGCGTTGACCAACAACAGAAAGTCAATCTGTTCGCAGTAAACATGCTCGCAGCCCCCGCAATGGAGGTTACTGGCAACAGGTAGACTGCTTTTAACGACGTATTTGCAACCTTGTCGCGATCTCCGCTCGAAAATGGGGCAGTCTTACGTGAAAAGGAAACTAACACCTCGGCATTCGTGTAGCCTCAAAATTGATGAGCGAGGGAGCAACTTTGGTTCGCGACACTTACAGGCAACTTATTCTGGACAAGCCGGAAAACATCGCCGCGTTGTTCGACGAATCGTGGATGACGCATGCACATGTGTCGCACATCGCCGTCAGTACAGTCACCGAACTGATAAGCGGCCTCGCGGCAGACGAGCACACGGCGACAACTTGCTACAGGACTGAAAGAAACGACACGCTCGTACAAACAATCAGTCCTATTACATTCTCGGTGCATATTAACTGACTAAAAGTATGTGCGCCATGATATTTTTCCCTCGGAACGGCGAAATTAAGTTTTAACAGCATTATTCTCGAAGCACAGATTTTGACCACTTTCTTTTGCTTTTTCGGTAAAAATAGACTTAGGACAGCTAGAGCTGTAATTGTTTTCGCACAACGTAGCTAAATGTGCACAAAAACAATGCTGGGAGCCTATTTTTATTGGGCAGCTTCATTTTTTTTATTTCAATATAAAAATTTCTGTATTTAGTTACATGAAATGAATGAACTTTACTGTGCTGTAATTCGAGAAGTACTCATTCAATTTTCGATCAGCTTGCAGCATTGCACTCCTTAGGCTTTTTAGCATTCATTTAATGTCAATGGCGATGTAAATATAAGTGCATACATTTTTACAGTTGAATATGTTAGAAGTCTTTCTTTTCTTCATTTTCTCAAAATGGCAATTTTGTACACCCTGCATGAAAATTATTGCAATATATCTGAAACTATTACAGATAGCAGAATATTTTATTTTGCAGCATGAAGCTAAATGTTTGGAGCACACAACATAGGATGCAGATTTTGATTTGTCTTGGTGCAAGTTTTTCAAACTAGTCTTTTGTGTGACCACACAATGGCCACATTCAGGGCTGTGAAGTTTAGTGTACTGTAAAGTAAGAAATAATGACCCATTCAAAAAAGTGCTTTTTATGTTTCATGTCTTCAGAAGTTGAAAGAGGAGAGGCTAAGGAAATAGTGTCATTGCCTTCAACATGTGAGGTGTTGTCAGCAACACTTTGGTCGTACCAGATCATGTATATAAATAGAATTCCGCCTTTGCGTTGGCCCATTCTCAATAAGACAATTATACAATACCACCCTGCCACCGCTTCATCAACCTAGCCAGAAGAAACATTTTCATGTTGCCATCTCATAAGAATATACTTGAGAATCCTCTCCAACTTCCTTTTTTTTCTGTAATTTCACTTCAAAATATTTGAAAAATATTTAGGAAATGATCGAGAAATATTCAAAAAATATTCTACTTGATTTGCATTTAAACTTCAATTTTGGAATTAGCTTCGCACCAAAAATTTTGCTATTCACACAGCTCTAACTAGAATGACACTGTTGAATGAGGACATCATTCTTGTGATCAGACTTTTGTGCTTTAGTGCACAAGCCGCACGTACACTCTCATGCCGGCAAGAAAGGAAGTGACCTCTTTCCTCATGGTACTAAGCAACATCAGAGAGGAGTGTCTTGCATGTGATCCACTTTTAGCGCACCACACACTACCAAAATTGCTTTCTATTCCCCCCAAGAACTATAATACCCTTTTCTGTTCATGAAACTTCACATAAGCTGTGGCGCTAGTGGACTGCTGTTGAAATGAATGAGTGACAAGATGCCGGATTGTACCAGCTGAGGGGTATGTAACAGAGGCCATTAGCAAGTCATACACTCCAAGTGAAAACTTTTTCAAAGGGTCAATAAGCTCTGGTGTAACAAGTGTGCGCCAAAGTAACTTACTTGGACACAGCCAGAGCAGTTACGGCTGCAGGCTCGTTGTTGTCCTTTCTATCAAATGCAGTGTGCATGGTCAATTTACTTCTAAACACGAGTTGGCATGACCACTTAAAACCTGTATAAAAAAAAACAAAAGAACCAAAAAGCATGAGATTTCTTGGATGAATGCGCCTATCAAAAATATGTCGCAGTCACCAAGTAAATCAGCAGCAGCAAGAAAATGATAGAAAATAATATTGTTAAATAGTTGAACCCCTTTATGAGAGACATGCACTGAGCAGCGATTCCTGTCCCTTATAAAAGGTGTCTCTTATAAGCAGGGTACCACGTATGCATTCCCTTATGAACCCCTGTGTCAATATAGGCACAGTAGTGTCCCTTATACCCAAATGTCTCTTGCACCAGAGTCTCTTATAAAAGAGTTGGACAGTAGTGAATTCCGAGATAAGCAAAATATTTACACATAACGCCACACATCACCACGAAACCACATTATAACAAGAATTAATTGGTAAGTAGCTTAGCAACACACTTACTAATATGTACGAAAAAGTAAAAATGCAGCCTGTTAAGTGGCCTTACTCTGATCTATCGATACATCTGGCATGCAGTTGTAGCTTTGCTGCAAGCCAGTATAATTTAATAGACACTACATTAACTAATTGTATTTTATTTCTTTGTCTCGTTAACGTACTGATGCTACTCACCTTCTCGCAATATGTTTCTCCTTCGCCTAAGCTTGCGGACTTCAATGCTCTTGTTTGCGTCAAGTGCATCAGTCTCATTTATCATTACAAAGGTGTCAGTCAGTGAGTTCTCCGACTTGCTAATGCGAAGCGCAGCCCCTTTGGAATCTTCAGTTGTGCATCCTCCGGTGCTTCTTGTATCCTCAGGAATAGCCAAAGTTGACTTGGTTACCTATAAAATTCATAGTGGGAGACCCAGCGTTAAGATACACATTGTAAGATTTGGATAGCTTCACGACACGGTCATGTTACCTTCAGTGTTTAATAAGAAATTTGAGACTCAAATAATAATAAAAAAGGGGCCCTAAGCTAAAGAAACCTCCAATGCCAGACATTAAATGCACAAATAAAGCATTCTAAAGTACCACCCTTTGAAGGCCCCTCTCACCTTATTTTTCACAGCACCAATTCAACACCAAAGGTATAAAATAAGTAAAATTCTACTTGAGCTTTCTAAATGACTGCACTACGTATTTAAAAAATAAAATAAATAAATACATAAGTAGTCATTATCACCAGCCTGACTACGTCCACTGCAGGACAAAGGCCTCTCCCATGTTTTGCCAGTCAACTCAGTAATGTGCTTGCTGCTGCCACTTCATACCTGCAAACTTCCTAATCTCATCTGCCCACCTAAATTTATGTCTCCCCCTAACCCACTTGCCTTCTCTGGGAATCCAGTCAGTTATCCTCAATGACCAGCGGTTACCCTGCCTATGTGCTACGTGCGCAGCCCATGGCCATTTCTTCTCCTATATTTCAACTATGATATCCTTAACCCTGGTTTGTTCTCTGATCCACTCTGCTCTTTTCTTGTCTCTTAAAGTTATACCTGTGGTTTTCCTTTCTATCGCTCGCTACATCGTCCTCAATTTAAGCTGAACCATAAGTAGAACATAAGTACAGTAGACTCATAATTCAAACTCTGATAATTCATACTTTCAGTTATTTCAAATGAAATTCAATTTTTTGGTTGGCACTATATTATTTCAATGTATTTAAAAGCCTTTTAATTCAAACTCCATCATGCAGTTAATTCATACTTTTTTCAGTTCCATACTAGAAAATGTCTGCTGCTTTCCAACTACTGTTTAAAAATTTGTGTGTGTGGTTATTTATTCCTAACAGTCTAAAAATGAAAAATAAGCACCTCAGGCTTTGTAAAACAAATGTTTGAAACAAAGCACACGCATGGTAAACCGTGATGCCTCTCGACTAGTATAGAGAGCTTTGTGCTGAAGGCGCATACCTATAGCAAAGATGCAGTTGGCAATTCACCGATTTCTTTTAAAGGTCTGATCAGCAGTAAATGATTAACAAACATGTGGACCTTACACCTCTGCCTTCTATTCATTGTGTGCAGGTAGGGTTTAAAAACAATTAAAAAGTTTTTAAATGTGATAAAATCAATGCCTAATCATAATGTGGTGTGTCACCTCACCCAGTATCGTATATCTGAGAACTGATAATTCAAACTACTTGATAATTTGAAGAAATTCAGAGGTCTCTTGGAGTTTGAATTAACGAGAGTCGACCGAAGTACCACACGTTAAATACGATATGTGCACCCTTGCCTGAAGTATTCACTCATTAAATAAAGAAATTAATAAGTGTAGTGACACTCCTGTGTTAAATATGACACATGCACCCTAGCAATGTGTAGTCTTTTATCAATTGTGCAAAAAGCCTATCACTGGTTACAGGTTCATACTGAGCTGGTAATGAAAAGCTTCAAGAGAAAGAGAAGATTTGATACTGCTGCCACAGTGACCCCGTGAAAGAGGCTACCGCTCCCTTCTGAAATACAGCCCGACAAATATGTGCAGTAGGGTCACCTGAGTCTCAGCTTCAGCAGCTGCCTTGGACTGCTGCTGGGTGTTCAGAAGACCCACCACTGTCTTTGAATGCTGCAGCAGGGAAGGCCGGCGGTCCTGGGAAGAGCGCCTCCAGCCACTCTCTCCACTGCTGCCAGAGAGTGGGGAGGTAGCACCTCGACCATAGCTCTTCACAGAGTCTGGAAAAAAGTGTTGCCCAAGCTTTTTTTCACACACATTTTCCTAATTTATAACGCACTAAAGATGAGTGCATTAGAAAGAAAGAGATATATAAGAAACTGCTACAGCGAAAGCATACTCAATACACACTGGTGCAATGAGCCATAAATCTAATACACTCAAACCTCGTTATAACATAATAGGATATAAATGAAATAATGGATATAACAAAGTAAATGAAATTCCCCTTGAAAGCTCCATTGAGAACCATGCATTTCAAACCTCGTTGTAACAAAGTAAAATTGACCAGTAAATGAATATAATGAACTAAATTAGTCTGTCAAATGGTCTATAAAAAAATGACCGTAGTGTATTAAGTACTACATCGTTTTCTGCAAAGTTTGATACTCATTCGATGCGACTCTTTCAAAACTCCCGCACCGACCTTACAGCTACACTCCGCGCGGCCGAGAGAGCCGTCCTCCACACAGCCAGTGGAAATTGTTGAGGAACCACTCAGCGGGTCACATGACGGAGAAGCGGCGCCGCGGTTCAAAGTGATTTCTCTCTCACGATGGCCACGACTGCGACGCCGCTGCTACCATGGCTGCTACCCTCTGCACCGAGAAAGGAGGACTCTCCGCGATGACTTTCTTTTTTTTTCCTCTCTCTCCGTGCGCGGCCTTGAAAGAAGGGTCTCTACGTGCAGAGACGGAAAAGGGAGAGGCGTGGCACAGGCGCATCGCAGATCGGCATTTGAGGCAGAGCAAACAATCTAACACAGTTCTTTCTTTTTTCTTTTCCTTCTTCGCCCGCAGCGTTGAAATGCTGCCGCAGGATAGGGCATGGTGCTGAGAGCATTGTTGGAGCGTGGTATGTTCGAATGAACCGTCACAAGTGCTTGCGCGCTCGAATTACAGGGCGTTTTTGTCCATTGGAATACACATAGCTTTGATGAGACCTCAGCATGAGTTCGAATTACCCGAAAGTTCAAATTAATGAGATTCGACTGAGTTTATTTTCCATGGCACGCGTGGTCACGTAGTGGTACATCGAGCCGCGAGGCGGTTTCTTTCTTTGCACGCTTATAGGTGTGCGCCCATCTGAGCATACATTGCCACTAACTGTTATAATCGATATAACGAAATAATGGATATAACAAAATAATTGTGGCTCCCCTTCAACTTTGTTATAGTGAGGTTTGAGTGTACAAATCGATCAGGTGCTGTTACAGCCAAATAAAATATGCTTCTCGACTACAAAATATCTACAAATCAGAACCTAATGTCATTACGAAAATAAACAATCACAGATGTTCACCACGATGTTTGGGAGCCTAGGGGAACGTATGTAGGTGATGAGAGGAGCAGCCATATATGCAAAGCAAGCAGCGAAATGAATGGCCTTGACTATCACTTCACTTGGCAGACATATGTGCTTTGAGAACAACTAAAGCAGTATGAAATGTACAAGAACTGCAGCTCTGCCCTGCTATGCTGATGACCACTGACGAAAGTGTGATGCCTGGTAAATCACAAGAGGAGAGTGTCTGCAAAAGTGATCTTGCAGCTGCTGTTGACATAATTACACCACAAGTTTCTAGAGTTAGGCTACAGCGAAAAGTTAATTTATTCTGGCAACACAAGGTCAAGCTTAGTAATATGTGAAGACTACTTTTAAACAAAATTTAGAAGGAAAACAAGTAAGGGGTATCACAACACTCACCATCATCCTCCGAGAGTGAGCTGTCTGAGCCACACTTAATGAGCACGGCAGCAGAAGTGTGCTGAGTTCGAAAACTGTCCACATCATCAGTATCAACTGCGCTGAGCTTGCGAACTATCCTCTCAGCCATCGTTTCCTGTTGTGGGGCTGACTGTGCAGGTGGAGGGGAGGAAGACTTCTCAGGGGTTGTGGCTACACTGGGCTCTTCGACAACAGCTGGTGTTATGGCTGTGCTGTTTTGGGCTTGCTTTTTACCCTCTATGGGGATTTGCACATAGTCAGCAGACCACATCTGTAAGTTGCACAGTAGAGAACTATTAGGTTCACAAAACAGTACACCATCAATTGTATCTCTTCAACGCTCATATGTTTGTGTGAGGCACCCCATGCGGTGACCCCATTTTGAATCATAAACCACCCCTTGGGCTTGATTAGAAAACACATCTCGTAGATAGCAGACACTGCTATGAACATCTCAGCCAAATCTTGTAGTCGCGCCCGGCAAAGAGAGTTTAAAAGTGAAGCGTGAAGTTCCCATTCCTCTACAGAGGCATTCCACTCTCTTAAGAGCTACCAGCGCCTGCTGTTAGACGTCGAACAGCAAATAACATGCTGTTGGCCAATAGCAGACATAAATCAAGGGTTGTGTTCAGATCAGATACCCTTCCTTGCATGGAGTGCTGAAACTGCCGCATTACATAGCCTGCTAACATCACACAGTGAGTCACACTTGCTCAGAAATCACAACAAGAAGCAGAGATCATGTTTTATCACACATGCTCGAGTTTATGATGCCGTTGATGTAACGTCTTTCCCCCATGCCATCCCTCTCTGTGTGTAGATTCCAGCGCATTCGTTGGGACGAGAGAAGAGATTTAAAGCACAAAACGAAACCCTATATTTCCAATCAATTTTAATGAATTATAAAAAGTGTAGTGGCATTCAATTCATGAGGCAATAAACTCTGATACTGAGGCCATCTGATGATTACTAGAGAAAGAGGTTCATGACCCCTTTTAACTTAATCATGATAACAGTGGAACAAAAACTATGTTAATCTGAGAATTAGTGTCCAGTTTTTAGTCATTCTATAGAATATATTGATATGTCTCTTGAAACCTGACACCAAATCCTTTTCAGAAATGACACGAATATGAAATATGGGATGGACTTCCCAATTAGCAATGTCAGCTAACATCGTGTTCGAACTACCTCCCCCCACCTCCCTCTTACTGTACCAGCCCATGCTGAAGAATATATTTCATATCCTGACTCCGACCCACAAGCCGTGGTATCCTTGAGACCGCTGATATAGGCTATAACAGGGGTGGAAGCGGGCTTCAGTCTTTTGGAGCAGCTCTTTGGGAGAAGGAATAATGCGGTTTTCAAACGACTTTGGAGCAGTAAAAAGGGAGTTTTGGAGCAGCTCTGAAGCAGCAAAAGATGTGTTTTGGAGCATCAAAATTTGGTTTTGGAGCAGATTTCTTGGGCCACATGTCACTGTTAATTAGAATTTTTGATTTCTGGAAAACACAAAACATTTCAGTGGTTTTTACTAAGCATACAATGCGGATCATGCGACCAGACTTACCCAAAATTCATACATATTAAACCTTACAACATCAACGACGAAAGAGCAGCAACTCGAAGAAAAACATAAGCGGCGTTCTGGACAGCTACTAGACTTCAAATGAATAAAAAAATTTCATGTTAAAATTTTGCAATGTTCAAAATGTGATTAAGACACTGCATCCAAAATGAACAGCAACTCAAGACTCGGCATGATTTACTACACAAAAAAAGTTATCTTCATACTAAACCCATAGGGCTCCATAAGAAATAAATGTAAAAAAAAACTTATGTTCCGGTCATTGAAGTGCCACAGCTGACATAATTGATTGATATGTGGGGTTTAACGTCCCAAAACCACTATATGATTATGAGAGACGCCGTAGTGGAAGGCTCCGGAAATTTAGACCACCTGGGGTTCTTTAACGTGCACCCAAATCTGAGCACACGGGCCTACAACCCACAGCTGACATAATTGATTGATTGATATGTGGAGTTTAACGTCCCAAAACCACTATATGATTACGCCGTAGTGGAGGGCTCCGGAAATTTCGACCACCTGGGGTTCTTTAACGTGCACCCAAATCTGAGCACACGGGCCTACAACATTTCCGCCTCCATCGGAAATGCAGCCGCCGCAGCCGGGATTTGAACCCGCGACCTGCGGGTCAGCAGCCGAGTACCTTAGCCACTAGACCACACAGCTGACATAAGAACCACGAGGAACTTTAGATGCACTCACTGCACCATTGATAGGCAGTTAAGTGAAAAATGTTTTATTACCATAGGAATTGCCATATTTACTCATGTAATAAACGCACTCGCATAATAAAGGCACCCCCAACTTCAGTCATCAAAAATTTGGATTCCCCCCTCCCCGCAAAATAAACGCACCCCCTACATTCATCCGCTGCAGTCCCGCTAACCAACACCTAGTGCCTCCTCAACCATTGAATCTCTTCCATTTTTGAATACTTTGCCAGCCCCCCTCAACCACCTTGGCTCACACCCTCCCACCCTTTCGCCTGTTGCCGCGTGCCATATTGCTTCTCTTTCTATCTGTAATAAATGCATCTCCTACATTCATCCGCTGTATTCCCGACACCGACACCTGGCACCTCCTCACCCCGTTGGCTCTCTTTCATTTTTTATTACTTTGCCGACCCCCCTCAACCACCTTGGCTCGCTCCCTCCCCCTTCGCCTGTTGCCGCGTGCCATATTGCTTTTCTTACTATCTGTGTGGGGCACGTCCCCTGTCTTATCTGTGAACCACAGCGAGGTTCAGGAGAGCTGCAAGTATAGAGACATCACAGCTGATAGACACATAGCGAGCGAAAGTCACGAAACTGCCAGCGCCAACCGACGTCAGTCGCTTCCTGCGACCCCCCCCCTCCCTTTCTTTTTTAGCCTACTCTAACTCTCACTCTAACTGTTCTTTCATAGACGCCAGAGTGTTGCGGACACGCAGTGCCACCTGTCAACGCAGTTTTGAGTAGTGCAAAGCTCTATTGCACAGTTTTCTACGCAACCAGGTGCAACTACAACGCATGAAACAAAGATTCAGAATGTTTTTGCGCATTGAACACCCAGAAAAAGAGCTGCGAATTTCTCTTCTCTAGTCGGATGCGTCACCAAACCGCCGCGAAGTGCTTGCTGGTTCACACGCCTCAACGATGGCGAAAACAAGAGCAGAAGCAACAGCTCCGCGCTCTATAAAAAAAGACGTCATTCTGCACTACTATTGTGTAGTGAATTGCCTCGGACGTAAATGACTTCAGTTTTACTGATTTACGCAGCGTTTGCAAAACAGAATGGCGAGAGCGCTTAATACAGGCTGTTGCGAACATGTTGGGTAAGCGAATTACTCGTGTTCTCCACAGCCGTTTGCACAAGTGTGATAATGTAGGTCTCCTGCTATTGTTTTGAGTAGCCTTGATGGAGAACCGTGGTAACTTGTATTATAAAGCTTAACAGGCCCTCTGACGGTGGTGCGTGACATACAATAGTAGACAGGTGACGCCCGGCGGTTCAGGCGTCGCACAAGTCGCGATCACTGATAATCTGAAGTTGTCGCCACCATACAGCATTACTTACGTCGGGCTTTCAAGGCTCTAAGTCCCGGCTTTAACTAGGAAATGGGACATTTCTCGATTTGCGTCATACACGCAAATCGAGAAATGATCTCAATCACAATCAACAAGGTCTCTTTTTTTTTTTTTTTCTTTTTTTTTTTTTTTTTTTTTTTTTGCCGCTGGTCTCCGCGATTACCGGAGCTATCTTGGAGGCATTGGTTTTGCCTTTCGTTGAACACTGAGAAAGTGGACACACATGTATCCCCATTTGCAGTATATACAAACAGAGTACAACCGTCAACAGAACATTCGAGCATGTGTAATAAAACAGTTCAATGCACAGGAAGCGAGAAATCGATATATAATGCAACTGCAAAGCGAAAATCACCAGGGCCATTTGTGCCGGATAAAGCGAGCTTCGTACCACTGATCGCATAGATGGTTCGTGCATGCACTTCCTCGCTTTCGCATCATGTGTATGCCTAAGTTTAATGCATTCAGGCATTACAGAACACATGCGTGCCTCGAACTCGATGCCATGCGATGATTGCTTGTATTTAAATTGTTCGTTTCAGTACTCCGAAATAAATGAAACATCTTTTGCATTGCACCCGCGTTTCGTTGTGATGAGCTTACTTTTATGAAGTGAGCCTACTTTTATGAAGCGAGGCTGGATTTAAAGAAGAAACTTGCGAGGTCCTTGACTTTCAGGAAACCACGCCTCAAGACCAACGAAAGAGGAGGGCCTATGCTTGTTCGTTTGCAGACGGCTCTCTGTGCACTACCCATTTATGGCCGGTGCGGCGATGGGGGCGCTGGTGGTGGCGTTTTTCGCAGCGCCATCTGGGCAGAGTCTGACGTCCATTCCCCGTTCCCCCATGAGTGCATGCATTTGGGTGCCCCTCGAGATCACAAGCCGATACCACTCTTGCGTTTAAACGATTGCGAGAAAAGATAGTCACAAGGCGTTTCTATGGCGTGCGCGAGTGGCCCGAGGACAGCTTGCAGAAGATAGCGCAATCAACGACCAAAGATGAGTAAAGTGCAGCAAAGAAGCTGTTTACAAACAGTGTACGTGTATGTAAATTGCAAAAGGCTAAGCGACCTAACTTTATTTTTGCCCCCCATTACCACACTTTTTCCTTCTCCCGAAAAAGTTTTCATAAAATTTACCCCGCGTAATGAATGGAACCCCCAACTTTGCTCCCATTTTTCGAGAAAAAAAGTGCGTTCGTTACGCAAGTAAATATGGTATATGGACACTCGAGTTTTTGCCGTCGACGCCATGTTCCGCGTAAACTACAAATTGGAACCATTGCCCGCGCATGATACGTTCTGCCCACAAGCAATACACATTGAAGACTGATAGCAGCGAACATAGAGCGTCGGCCCTCGATAATCTGCCACGCAGCAAAGTGCGGCGGCATTTAAACATATGTCATCAAGATTCCAGTGTTATTGCTAGCGACCGCGTAAGTTTCAGAACAAACTGTAATGTATGCGTAATCTCACTAGAAGGTTCTAAAATTATCTAGGTGGTCCGCAGTTGTTCGGGCACAGTTTGTGCAAGGCAGCGTTACACGCGTAATGGTGTAGTAACAAAACTAGAAAGAAACGAGTGCACGCAGCCTCTCCATTACAACATTACAAATTGTTGCTATAGCAGCCATCACTTCGCTTGTGTCACAAATTTTCATTTCTTCTTTGTTTGTTTTTTTCAGTTTGTAGGGCAGAAAACTCGCTGCACTAATGCTCAGCAATGGTGTGGCGAGTTTTTTTTGCGAAACAGCATTGCTGTCTTTATAGTTTGCCTAACAGCTTTGCTGTTAAAAGATGTACAGAGTCGCATAATGAGGTATGCACACAAACACCACCTTAAGAAGAACCATGCATTGTGTTCACATGACGCAAGATTCATATATGATTCTAAATACGACGTGTGGTATGGACGAGGTTGCGTCCTTAGTGTAGCCCACGTGTACTACTCAGTCGATGATGAAGCGCTCGACTAAATTTGGTGTTGCATGAGCCAATTGCCATTTAGGCACTGCTTGGTGCAGCAGGTCAGATTGGTGCAGCATGGCACAATTGGTGCATCACTTCCACCCTTGCTACACTTTTCATTGAAATTAAAATACATAAGTAAATGTAAGAATATAACTCAGAAATAGAGAAAAATAATAAAACACTTAATGACTGTGCGTTTTCAATGGCACATAAGCTCACTACATGTGGTTGTTATGTTGTGGCAGTCGCAAACAGCCAATACTGTTAATGTGAACAGACGAAGAAATGCATATCAATGGAGCTCGAATTCGTTTGCACTAAAAAGCCTAAACTGCATGAACTCCAAACATTATTTAGTTATGATGAACAAGTATCTTTAATCTCTTCTGGAACTACAACAACACAGTAATGTTCAAAGCAGTTAAAAAGAAAAGCCTGTCTGCAGAATAACCCCTCATTATTATACGAAAGACCTAAAGGAAAACTGGTACCCTTCCACTAGAGATAGGGCTCAACTACAATCATAACTTGAACCAGGCCAAGAAATACACACAACACTCATTGCAATAGAATATAATACTGCAGCAAAAAGGGCACATTATACCAAATAATGAACCCATGTGATTTGGAGAAATGGTGGGACTTTACATGATATCCTGCTGTCTACAATATTTTGTTATTGAAAATAAAATGTGATCACAAAAAGGATAAAAAACAAGGACCTCAGAATTAGATATGAGATTTAAGTCATAATCCTACAACCATTTGTCATAAAGTGCTTTGCTGTCTGCCATTTCCCAAATGCTGGCCAGAAAAAAATGACACTGTCGTTCCACAGGGGCCAACAACTATACTTCATACAATGGTAAGACATTCTTGACAGCAAATAAATGGGTTCAAGCAACATTCCTGCCTTTGCAGCCAGCTTAATGCTATGTTGGCTGCCCCACCCGCGTTGCCTTTGCCGATGGCTAGTTTTTCACATAAAGTGAAGGCAACAAAGAATAAGCAAAGGTCTATTTTAGAGCTATGCAAATGAAAAAAATTTTGGGTGCAAAGCAAATTCCAATATAGAAGTGCGAGTGCAAATCACATGAAACATTTCTTGAATAATTTGGAGCATAATTGTGGGGGGAAAAAAGTTGGAGAGGATTCTTAAGCAAATTCTTGAGATATAGCAACATGAAAGTGTTTGTTTGCTACGTTGATGAAGTGCTGAGGGGGGGGGGGGCAGTATTTCATCATTGTCTCATCAAGACTGAGGCAATGCAGAGGCCAAATTGTAACAGTACATGTTTTGGTGCAACCAAATCTTGGCGACAACACTTGACAAGTGAAAGGCAAAGATGCTATTTCCTCAGCCTCTCCTTCTCTTTCAACTTTTTTGGAAGCCCAACTGATGTGTGAACAAGGTTGTTCTCCCTTCGAGTTAGGAATTCCAAATATTTCTCACAGCCATCAACATACAGGAACATTTGAAATTTTGGATGCCAGAAATCTTCAGCGTCTGATTTTTCGAACTTCCTGCCCAAATTTCAGGTCCAAAACAGCACTAATTGAGCACCCACCTCTACTTTTGCCACATCTATCATCTCCACGTTGGAACCAGTGTTTTCTTGAGTCAATAAATTTGCTACCATAGCAGAGCTTGAAAGACACCTTTGCCACAATACAAAAATGTGATGAGGTGAAGCGTATTAAACATTTGATTGGGTCACTTTTAATTAGACATTGACTCAGGGGCAGCGCCAGGATTATTTTGCATTGACTCAGGGGCAGTGCCAGGATTATTTTGCCGGGGGGGGGGGGGGGGGCGGAGCAGTGAGTTTCTTTAGGGGAGGAAGGCAGGCAAAAATTCTAGGAAAGCTTCAGCCCCCCCCCCTTATGCCCACCCCTGGTGCTGCACCTGCATTAACTACATCTGTCTTTGGAAGTTTGAATATGAAAAAATATCAGTGCGAATTGAATACCAAAGACTAATAAAAATACTTTAAATTTTTAATATTCACACAATCTTAAGTTTTGTGACAAACAACAGCGGCTACCAAACCCATTGAACAAAAACGGCAATCTGAAGCTAGTTCAGTTTGGATTACGCGTGTTCAGATGCTGCACAGCATGTGACATGGCTTGACCACATCATGCACCTTGCAGTGTGAATGTCACAAATAGCTGATGACAAGCACTGCTACTGAAAAACAGCTGTGCTGCGTGGCAACCACACCAGCTTCTTGCAGCAATGGTGGCAGGAAACTGGACGTCATTGTGTTTGCACCCCCAAAACAACAGAATTTTCACACATTTTAGCAGAGACTAAAAGTGTTATGCACATAACATGGCATGATGCTGTAAGATTCTAAGCTAACACCCTACTGACATAAAAAGCTACCACACATCACCAAGGCTGTTTTTTTACAAAATAATCCTGTTGCAGTCTGCATAGTTTGAGTGATGTCACACAGCTTTTAGAAAAATTGTTTTCACAAACTCCTGAAAACACCCTACTGATAGAGAGTAATGCGTGTTTGCATATGCACACATTGTGTAAAAAATTAATACGCTCCTGATGATTATGCTGCTGTGTGCTATGTGTGTCCCCTTCATTGAAATGCACAATTGGTCACAGATGTGCACAGCAAGTGCTGAATGCCGAGTAGGGTTAAACCCACTATTTAAAACACTTCCAAGGCACAAAAACAAAAGGAAAATAAAGAAAAATATTAACAGAGGCAAGTCTCCAGCAGCTTGCTTGCTGTAGAGACATGCTGATTGATTGATTGATATATAGGGTTTAACGTTCCAAAACCACCATATGATTAAGAAGACATGTGGAGACATGCTGTACCCCCCTTTTTTTTCTTAAGTTGCCAGAAACTACGTATTAATTTGGGAGTACAGCACTCACAGCATGGTAAGGTGCCCCTAAAATGAAACGAATCATAAGACCTGTACCCAACTATGCAAAACTGCACGCCAGTGTGCTCTAAAGAATCAATGGTTCTTTATTTATAAACGGAAATAATGGCACTATCTTATGGCACATGTCTGCTTGCAAATGAAGAACCTCTTCTCTGATAGAGCATGCAGGCATGCAGTTGTACGTGATTTTGCCTAACCTTGCATGGTCCGTTTTACTTATGGGGCACCGGAGCATGTGAATAAATACCAGCAATGAGATGCCTTGAAAAGGCAAGAAACACTAGTCAATCATAACATACCCTGACAACACCATCACTGGAGCCTGTCATAATGACATTCTGGTTGTCCCATTCATTTAGCTGTGAGAAGCAGACACAAAGTATCTGTTGCAGGCGGTCACTGCGACCAGTGGCGGTGTTCACACTGGCCACCTCTTGCCCATTGATGGTCCACAGACTAATGTGTGTGCCAGCACAGGTTGCCAAGTCTCCCTGCAAATTTTCCAGTTTCTTATCAACTCAAAATGCAGACATACACACTTATATGGATAAATACACGAGAAAAAAAAGTTACAACTTAGCATTAGTGCCTCGCCACAGCGCAAAATATATGTATAACTTAAAATTCTTCAACAAATGCTAAATTGAAGCATCGATGACAGTTCAAATGTCAAGGCACAGATGTATCGTATTTGCTCGTGCAATGAACGCACTCGCATAATAAACGCACCTCCAACTTCAGTCATCAAAATTTGAATTTTTTTTTTCCCCGCGTAATAAATGCACTCCTTACATTCATCCACTGCAGTCCCGCTAACCGACACCTGGCACCTCCTCACCTGTTGGATCTTTTCCACTTTTTATTATTTTGCCCACCCTCTTTGACCACTGGGGCTTGCTCCCCCCCTTGCCACCCTGTGCCCCATGCCATTTTGTTTTTCTTTTGATCTGTGCCAGTAGGTCCCCCATCTTATCTGTGCACCACTGTGGGGTTCAGGAATGGTGGGAGTGTAGAGACATCCAGCTGATAAGAATCTAGGGACCTTCCCTGGTTGTGTGCTTATCAGCTGGGATGTCTCTACACTTGCACCATTCCTGAACCCATCTGTGGCACACAGATAAGACAGGTGGGGGGAAGGGGGACGGCCCTGGACAGATAGAAAGAAAAACAATACCATATGGTACGGTACAGTACAGCGGTATATACACAGCAACAGGTGAAGGAGGGGGCGTGACCTTCGCTTGCTGTGTGCTTAAAACTGCCCCCGCGAACTGATTGATGGTCACTTCCTGCGAATACGAAAAAGCTTAACCGCGTGCACGCGATTTTCGAGCGATGATGACAAGAATTGTTGTCGCGAAGGGTCATTCGTCGCTATGACGTCGCGGGTTTCTGGAAAATCAGAAAAAAATGATTGTCCAGAAAAGATTGTGACGATTTCCGCAACATGATAGCACCCCCGCGCTTCGCTTGTTATCCGCGCGAAGAACTTCTCATGCAGAAGTGAGGCGGCGGCCGTATGTTGCTGTTAATCTTAATATCGACAGTTTGTTTTGATGCTTTGGTGGTAGCTTGCTGCAATGCTGGTTACTTGCTACATGTGGATGGCATCATTGCGGTTGTTGGGCAAGGTTGCCGCGAAGTTGGCAAAGTGCATCGTAGTGCACGCTTTCGAGCACCCCTCAAAATCACAGCAGATACCACTTTTGCGATTAAACGATTGCGAGAAAAGATAGACGCAAAACACTTTTATGGGGTGCGCGGGCCGCCTGCGATCAGCATGCAGAAGATAGTGCCATTATGCAACCAACGAAGATGAGTAAGTGCAACAAAGAAGCTGTTTCCAAACAGTGCGCATGTATGTCAATTGTGAAAGCATAAACTACTTGACCTTTTTTTGCATTACCACATTTCTTGCTCCTCCCAAAAAAGTTTTCATAAAATTTACCCCGCATAATAAACGCACCCCCCAACTTTGCTCCGATTTTTTAAGAAAAAAAGTGCGTTCATTACGCGAGTAAATACTTTAGCTCTATCCAAGTTTTTCACTGCTTCGAATACAGTCCTAGCAAAAATCTTGCACTTAATAAAAAGTAGGTCATTAACAATAAAGAATAGGTCATTACATCAGCAGAGTAATGTTATCATAACCAACACCAATATTGGAACAAACTGCAGTGTGAGCTTAAACAGTAGCATCAACAAGCTACTACTACATCCCACTTCAGCAGCGTTGCCAGGTTGGCTACTTTTAAAAGGCCGCGGCGACAAAAGAAGATGGCTACTTGGCTACTTTTTGGCTATTGTTCTGGTGCTGCAATCGATGGCTAATATACGCTAAGGCCAAGCGCAACTATAAAAAAAAGTATTAAAGTGTGCATTCACACAGCCGGCTACCACTCCCTCGGTGTGATCGAAGCAATTGCGTGCGCTTAAAACGCAGCTCAGCCGCCATGATTTTTTACATTATTGATGGAACTCATATAAGTTAGGCAGCAATGTAACGTAGCTTGCAAGGGACTCGTTCAGGCTTTCAAGCCGTTATCTGTTTCACCCGTTAATGCTCTGAACTCTAGTGGCGCGGCACTAGGTGAACGTAGGTGAAAAGTCGATACGAACAGCTCATCGAAGCCTTGCGCAAGGTGCATGCATCTTGCTATTTTTGCAGTCATTTTCCACACTGGTTTAATATTTTCACTGTTGACACTGCTGCACTTGTCAGCCATGAAGTTTATTATGTCGACTGTTGTATTTTATTTGTTTGGAAATGACAGGCCCACTTTATATCACTGTGTGCGTGCATGAAGCACTGCAATATCTGACAACTTCAAATAGTGAATTGCCGAAAAAAACATAAATCGAATAGCAAAAAATAGTCAATATTCAAATTTTGAATGTTCTTGCAATTCATGTAAGATTGTAAAACACATTAACAAGGAACTAAAATATCTTGGGTACAAATGCATGAAATAAGATGACTCACAGTTTAATCTGTGGAATGCATGCACGTGATTTTCAAGTAATGATACAAAATTATCTGCTGATATACCCATAATGACAAACTATTCCATTCCCTAGCTGTGTGCGGAAGAATTAAATGAATGCATAATGGCTTCCACTGGATTGCTAACATGCCTCATACTAAGAAAAGAACCATTTCATGCAAAAAAAAGACAGCATTACTGCTTCTGAACCAATGCGCCAAGAGCCCTGGAGATCACATAATGCTGCATGGGGTGCCATTTTTACTGAAGCAGATCCTTTTGGCTCCACAGTTGAAGTATGAAAGTACTGACGTCTCTAAACAAATATACACCTACTACCAATAATTTTTTTATGTGTGAAACTATGCACAACAAATATACACCTACAACCAATAAATTTTTTATGTGTGAAACTATGCACAGAGCTTAGCTTTACACTCCATAACAATACATCTGTGCTAAATTTCATGATGATGTCGACATGACATGTATTCGCAAGTTTTCTCTTATGTAGTGATGAAAATGCCCCTTGCATGGCCAGGTTCATGCACTTGTCACTTCTAAGAACAATCTATGTGATAATGAGATTTTCGATCTGGTGATGGCGAGCTGTACACTGCACTCACACAGGGATATGATTGTAAATCTGGCTTCCCAGCTGCGTTCTATTCTATTAAGCAATAGTACACCAAACCCTGTACTATTCTAACTGCCTTCGATGGTGTGGATGAACATCCCATAAATAAAAATTTTTTAAGTATTTTTTTTTCCCTACCTCATCAGGGCAGACAATGATACAAAAGAAAAGTTTTTCAATTTTTATTGTTACTCTAGCGTTACAAAAACCAGCAAACATTAAATCCTCCTAAGTGCCACTGAATAAACAATCCACGAGTTGTCTCATTATAAACAAAAACAGTCTTTTTAAACTCTTTTGATATTCACTTCAAGACAGTTTAAATTGTAACAAATCCTTCGCACGCCTTACCGTAAGGTCATTGATGGCCACAGCAGCAATTGGAGCAGTATGGCCTCGAAGCTGGCGTACAAAGACAAGGCGGCTAAGGTCCCACAATATACAGGTGTAGTCCCGAGAGCCACTGACAATCAAATTGTATGGCCGCGATGCTGCTAGGCAAGTGACTGCCTCTGTGTGGCCGTGAAGGTTCTGCTTCAATGTCAATTTCTTTTTGTCAAACTGCCACACTGTCACCACCTGAAAAATCCAAGTACAATGCCTGACCTACTGGGACAAGGAACAAAACTTGCATCCTCTACCCTCTACTTACCTACAAAATATCACAACTTTCAAAAGCTGCCACTGTTGGCATCAACAACAAAAGAATACTGAAAGATTGCTAAATGTTGGGGGCTTTGCTGCGCACCTTAAGTAAACCATAAGTCTGACAACAGTTAACGCCAATTCACCTAATGGGCAATTTGAAATACAGAACTTGAACTTGACATCTGAACATTCCAAGTGGTTTTCCTATAGAGCATTTAGATCTTACTGATTGTACTTATTTATATCAGCAAAAGTTGGCATACAATTGAGAGTATCTCCATTAATATTCAAGGAAACTCAGGCTGGTTTCTCAGCAGCTTCTTGCACATGTCATACTAAGGTGTGTACAATCGTGTATTTCACGATTGTAAGCCACTTCTAATGTAGGTTGACCCCCCCCCCCCTCCCTAAAATCGCCCCCCCCCCCCCAAAAAAAAAGAAAGAGCTTGAGTACATTTTATGAAAAATTGTTGACGATGTCTCTGAAAAATACAATCGAATTCCGGTGTGCCAAAATAGCTTCACGGCAGTGCTTAAAAGCTGTTTTTTTCACCGGTTTTAAACCTTAATGCGCTTGAAGAACAAACGAGGCCAGTTTCCATGAGCCAGTCTTGTCCTCATCTTTCACCCTGTTAACATTTTTGTATATCTTGAAATAACCTCGTCTTATGATTTATCATGACGTACCCACATCGCTAATGTAGTTTCAGCATCTAATAAAGCACTTGGTTTTCTCATACGCCATCTCCGCCTAGGCCCTCTACATGTAAAATTATTTGCACACAAATCTTTAATCCGACCGAAATTGGAATATGCATCTGCCATATGGAGCCCACATCAAGCGTATTTAATCAAAGCATTAGAAGCGGTACAAAACCGTGCTACCAGATTCATTCACTCATCTTAATCATACGATATCAGTATTTCATCTTTGAAAGCGAAATATGGACTGCCACCCCTTTCTTTGCGCCGCCGCACTGCGACTCTCGTGCTTTATCACAAATTATTTCATTCTTCCCTCAATTAGCCACCTTATATAGCAGCCGCAGCACGCATATCTCATCGAACCAGTCATCCATCTCACGTTTCCCGCCCATCATCATGCACCGCTGCTTTTTCTGCCTCGTTCTTTTTTCGAGCAGCCACGGACTGGAACGGCCTCCCCCGGGACATCGCCAACATCGCCTCATCATCTGCCTTTCAAGACCGTATTATTGATCATCTTCAATGCTAAAACAACTTTTACTGCTTATTGTTAACCTAAATAAAACCCCACCCCTTATGTAATGCCCCACCTGATAAGGGGGGGCCTTTAAGGTAATAAACTGAACTGAACTGAACTGAAGGAAAGCTAGCTTCACAAAAATACGCGGGAATTATTTTAGGGAGACATTGGTCCACATTCACAAACCAACCTCATCTTTTCCTAGAGTTTTTCTCACCGGTTTTAAACCTTATTGCGCTTGAAGAACAAACGAGGCCAGTATCCATGAGCCAGTCTTGTCCTCATCTTTCACCCTGTTACCATTTTCGTGTCTTTATAACGCTGTGTAGAGAGTACAGAGAGTTGAGGAAAACATGAGGTAAGACTGAGGTTGGTTTGTGAATCTGGCCTTTTAAAACCAAAACTAGTTTTCGATTCTAGGTCAACCCTCCAACTTTAGATTTCAAATTAGGACAAAATAGGTCGACCTACAATCTTGTAAATGCGGTAGGTTTCTCTTGTGAACATACTTTCCTGCATTGCAATTTTGCAGAAGTCATCTCTTTGTGGAGCACTTTTATGTTAGGTGCAAATGCTAAGCCACTATAGCCACTCTGGAAAGACATTTGTGTGCTAGCTTCACAAGCTTACGTGATGGCTGTATAATTTACGTCTATGCCCCCCTTATGCAATAATCGAAAGAACAATTGAGAAATATCATCATCGTCCTAATAAATTAGGACGATGATGAAATTTTCAAAGAAACATTTCTTTCAAGCATATGAGAATGTCCATCACTTACCGAGCTCGTGCCTGCTGTGATAATGATTTTGCTGTCTGGGCAGGCACAACAAAGGATTTCTCCAGATGGGACATCTTCCCAGACAAAGTTGCAGCGCTCGCTTTCATAAGGGCCCATACGAATGCTGTAATCAGCAAATCCCCAGGCTACGTATCGGTTGTAAAGGGGTCCAATGAGTCCCTTGTTTTGTTCCACTGCCAGCACCGTCTTCTCATGTTGTATTATCTGACCGACAGGGCCTTTTAGCTCTAGAAAAGAAACAATTCCACAAGCTTGATTTATGTGATTGATTGAAGATTTTATTGCCTTCTATTGAATGCAGTTCTATTCATAAGGATCTATGGAGAGGACTATTACAGGAGTATGACTTTCTACCACTCATTTCAAGTGACCATAAGCGTAGTCTACACGGCAAAGTTGATCACTATCTTACAACTAAAAATTTCTGAAAGACTCCACTTACAAGCTGCACGTAATAGAAATAAAATTTGTTCTGAACACCATCTTCTGTGTAAACATACAAAATATGTTTTATGATCAATCTTTACATGAAGGGCACAAACATCATGAAGCTATACAAACAGCAGAGTGAAAGTCAACACATTTCTAGATCTCAGTTTTCTTTATGACTCCATTGTCGAAGGATCACCTGCTTCAAGAACTCATCTGAATGAACTTGCTCAGAGCAAGTAGTTCCCAGTACAGTTGAAACCTTAAGAGGCATGCTCTGGGCCGCAGTTATTGTGTTTCATATAAGATGTCTCTTATAATCGGGGTACCTCATATGCATTTTCCTATCAACCTGTACTTCACTGTAGGCACACTGGTGTCTGATACCCATTTGTCTCTTACATCAGTGTGGTTCGACTGTACCTGGATCTATTTCGCTGACTCAAGGCTTTGACAAAAGCACCATCAAATTTTAATTGCTTTATAGTTTTCTATTTTACAATCTTATGCCACCTTTATCCTTCAACAATGGGGCCCTACACCACTTTGTGAACATACTAGTCTTAGAAAAGACTATTAACGAGTAGTCAAGACTCCTGTGAACATGCGAGTCGAACATTATAATACTGCAATGCAGCAGGAAACTTAACGTGCAATTATAAACAGTGAAAAATAGCTTTCACCTCACAAAAACAGTTTATTCATTTGGCAATATACTTCTATAGTGAGGTCATTAGATAATTACTTGGAAATGTGTTGCAGGGCCCTTTTAAAGGGAGATGCTGGTCGAAAAACGCGAGTTTTTTTTTTTCAAAATTACCATTTTTTTGTTCGCCTGTTTTGACAAGATTAGTACCTCTACTGTTATGAAAAAAATATTACTAGTCGAAACTTAACTGGAAATGCTTTAAAAATTCATTTAACGAGAACAAGATGCCAGTTAAAAGGTCTAAAGTGTGCATTCTTTGAGCAGCTTGCTGCCAATAATGCGCCGCCGCTAGCCACTGTTGATCGCATGAGTCGAAGAGTCGAGCCTCACTCTTCAAATAACAACAGTTTCTCTCGCTGATGCAGTGCAAGAAATAATAAAAAGAATAACTCTTCTGTGCGTTTTTCGAGCGCCGCGACTGGTTTATCACATGGTACGAATCGGGGACCGCCATTGGCCGCTGCGCGCCTGTATGTGCTGTGAAACCTGTTTGCGGGGTCCATGTCTTGTCGGGCAGCGCAGTTGAACAATGCTTTTTTCGTGCAATTATCTCCGTTATGAATGAAAAAAAGGCATTGCTCGCAAGTGAAAGCCGTTGTGCGGCGCGCTCTCTAGAAATAGGCTACGAGCAGCTGGTCCGATTTGCGGCAGCTGTTGGCTTGCAAAAGCCAATGCATCAGAGTCATTCACCACCGTCAGCCGTAAAGTTCGTGATGCGGCAATGGGTGACGTCAGCACCAATCTTGAGAGGTCGAAAGAACTCGCAGTGAGAGTACTTAGCAGGGACGACATTGCCATTATGTACGACGGTATGTGGCACAAACATGGCTGCAAAATGGCATGACACTGGACTTAGTTTGGATTTCGCAGTCCTGTCGAACTTCTTCCTAGCTTGCAGTTGGCACAAGGCTCTGCCAGATGGAGCTGAAGTTTTGCAAGCGTTTCATGGCCCTGTCTGTGAGGAGTCGGCTTGAAAACGCCAAGAGGGACAAACTCATGGTGCTGGCATATGTTAGTCGCAGTGGCCACTACGAGAAGGATTGTTCTTTTTGGTGTGCAAATTTCATATGATTTAATATTATCTTTCATAAATAAAAACTCAATTTTAGCTTTAAAACTCGTTTTTTTTTTTAAACACAAATTTTGCCATTTCTTCCAATGTGCACCTCCTTTTTCGGGCATTTCTGGTGCTCAGATCTGCATGAAATTTCGGCCAAAAATTTTTCCAAAGTATGACAAATGCAATTATCTAGTTTAAATTTCAACATTTTATTGTATAATAAAAAATTGTATGTATACCTTTACGGGAGGGTCCCGTTGCAGTCTTGTACTTTCGGACCCTCGTCTGTATATTTTACTCCCTGTAACATCCTTTTATGACATGATGATAAACTGATTGATTGAAACTGATTGACAAGGGCAAGTGAAATATAGACTTTCTATGTCTATTATTTTTCACACGTATTACATATTTTGTATGTGCTTTCTAATTAGTTATTTCTATTCTAGACTTTATTTGAAGCATTATGAACTATGAATGGTAAAAAATTACAGAATTTCAGGGATAAAAAGAGGGGGGGCAAGAGGGTTAAGGTTTTCACTTTGTCATGTTGCAGAGCTAAAAGTGTGTAACTTGCAAGAAAACTAATTAAATATTTGAAATTAGCATAAAAAGTGCCATAAACAGCTCAAGTTTCATTCTTCTGAGGTGAATATTAAAGAAAAAGTGTCTTCGAGTAGCATCTCCCCTTAAAACTTTTTTGTGAACAGAATCTATATTTTATAGAACTTAACACAACATCATTAAAATTGAAGAACAAGGTTAAACTCGTCAAGTTAAAGAGAAATTCGGAAGATTTGGCAGCTAAATGAACGAAAGTACAGACTCTGCTAAATGAACCAAAAGTATAATATAATTATAGTTAAAAAAGGAATCTTTAGACACAGAATGGCAAGCACAAGCACAGCAATCAGTTGAATTAAAGAAGAGAGCTTCCAGCAAGAACATGATGTTGTAATCAGAGACGCTAGTAAAAGAAAATTCATGATAGACAAAGTATCGAGAATAGATCACTATTGTAAGCAAACAACGTTTCCTTTTGTCCTCCAGAAGCTGAAACTGACTCCACTAATTCTCACATGACAGGAAACTATTTCCAGCTGTACTATACATGGCAAGGTAAAAACTACAGTAAGAGCTTGTTCATTTAAACTCAAAGGGGACTATAAAATTAAGCGAAGTTTGAGTTAACGGGTGGGCGCTAGAATGAATGGGCATTGCTAGTGCGCATGAACAGATCCCAAAGAAGCCACCTTTGGACTTGTAATCAGTGATTCGCATTTGCTTGTGCTTTCATCGCAACCCCATGAGCATCATTTGCAGCTTGTCCAAGAACTCCAATGCAGCATCCCAATTTTCATTTACAAAGACATGCTGCCATTTTGTTGTTTTGCATCTCTAGTAAATATGGTTTCGTTTCGGAAAACATTGTGATAACTCTAGGCCGACTTCTGTGAGAAGTGATGAAAACTAGGGGCTCTCAGTTTGAATTAACCATTGTAGATACCGATGAGTTTGAATTATCGGGAGTTATTCCTTATAGAAATAGACTGTGCTGGGACCAGGGCATCATTTCGAGCGAAGTTTAAGTTTCAATTAGTCAAACTTAAATTAACGAGCTTTTGCTGTAGTATGTACACTGATAATAATGATGAGAACTTCTTCAATATCTGTATCTATATTTACAGCTATGCAAGGTCATACAAAACAATAGTAATTGTTTCTGTGCAAAGAAAAAGAAAAAAAGAAAGAAAGGAAAGAAGAAGAGGGCATCAACATGCATGCTGTCCCAACTTGTCCTGTAAGATGAAACTCTTGACCCAAAATGCTCACTACAAGTAAAACTGTTGAGCCAGGCACACTCGACCACTTTATTGCATGTAATACCACATTGCTCGCTCATGTGCCACAGTTGCACTTTGCTATAATAGGGTGTCATCTGCAGTGAAACTACTTTTATAGATATTATTTTACTTAAATACAGTTGATTGTCATTAATTCAAACTCGAAGAGACCTCTGAATTTTGTTTGAGTTATCAAGAAATTTCAATTATTAGAAGTTCTCAGATAGATGACTGTGGGTGAAGTGGCACCACACATTATGATTAGGCATTGCTTTTATCATATTTAAAAATTTATTAAGTGTTTTTAAACCTTAACTGCACGCAATGAAGAGAAAGCAGAGGTGTAAGATCCACAAGTTTATCAGCCATATACTGCTAATCAGACCTTCTAAAGAAATCGGGAATTGCCAACTACTTCTATGCTCTATGTATGTGCCTTTAGCACAAAGCTCTCTATACCAGTTCAGAAGCATTACGGTTTACCATGCGTGTGCTTTGTTTCAAACATTTGTTTTACTAGCAAAGCCTTTTCCCTTGAAGTCACAAGGTGCTTATTTTTCAGTTTTAGACTGTTAGGATTCTATAAGCTTGATAATTTTAAGCAGTAGTGGGAAAGTAGCAGATATTTTCTGGTATAGAACTGCAAAAAGTATGAATTAACCGAAAGATGGAGTTTGAATTTGAAAGAATAAATGGCCAACCAAAAAATTGAATTTTGTTTGATTCAACCGAAAGCTTGAATTATCAGAGTTTGAATTATTGCGGGTCTACTGTACACAAATTTATCACATTTAGTTCACAGGAATGTCTACACAACCAGACATTCCTGTGAACTGGCACTGCGGCAGTATGCTTACCTTTGAGTGGGTGTAGGGATGGCTTAAGGTTGTCTAAGTTATGAAAAAACAACTTGTCATGGCAATAGCTCAAGCCAGGCATTATAGGTCCTGGGTCCACCACGCTGGTTCTATTGGTCAGTTTCTTGCATGGATGGGGTTTCTTAAAAAGCTATAGTGTACAATTGTAAATGAGAGAAAAAAGTTCCATACATTAGCAAAATGCTAAATATAAATCGACCTGTAACAATATTCAAGACTTACTTTGTTGAACTAAAACCTCGCTGAGCATTTCTATAAAGCACTAATCTATGTTTTGCTCTGTAGACCCGACATGGCTGGTGGGATAGCAAAGAACAGAAAAATGTGTTGAAACACCAAACAATGATATCCTTGTTTTTTAGTTGCCCATTCTACAATGGACAACTTTCTGAAAGTGCAAACTTAAACCTTCCAGGAGTCGGGCTCGTCAACTGAGCAATATTTTGAGAAGAAGAGTTTAGCAACATCACCATAGCAGACAAAATAATAGAGGTGCTATCAACTGCTCGTTTAGTCAGAGGACAGATTTGTGCATGTTCATGACAGAGGGTTCATTAAAAATAGCCACTGTCACATCAGTGTAACCCCCCCCCCCCCCCCCAAAAAAAAAGGGGAACATAAGTATGAAATAGGCTGATGGGCAACAATGTCAAAGCAATTGGTGAAATTTAATGGGTGCATGAATTGGATACAGTCTGAAAACAAAATATGATGAAAACTGACATAGATAAAAAGACACATCTCATCAAATATGCATAAAAAAATGAACGCAAAAGAAAGAGGAATAGAAAGGACAAATGTAACCCTCGTGACTAGTTAGCACTTGTCTAGTCTATGCCTCTTACTTTTACCTCCATTTTCTACATGATACTGCTGGACTTGCCACGCTCGGTGGACAACAGACAATTATCATGACCAACTAAACACCAAAAAAAAAGAGAGCAACAACGGTAGAGGTGACAATGGTTTAGAAGATGGCAGATGACAACATGCAAAGAGAACCTAAAAAAAAAAATAGTACTCGATATGCAATCTTTTTGTCAATTCATATAAGCCTTTAGGTGTGCCCACACATGCAAAAGCCTTTTCTTTTTCATGATTCAGACCTTCGAAATCTTGCACACTCGGTTTCACAGTATTTTGATGATGTGCAGGCCTGATAAAAAAAAAGTGAACACCCGCATGCAATGCAGTGCATGTTCTCTTGGTTGCCGGCTCATCGTGTTTTCCCTTAATCTCTTTACTTTCTTGCCAACACACAGATATGAGATTGGCTAATATCTTTCCACCATATACAGTTGAGCTTACGATTATACGACTCCTCGTTTTGCGATGACCTGCACTTTACAGCAAATCGGTTTGGTGCCGGCAAAATGGTCATAAAAATAATTTATTAAAACCTTGGTTATACAACATAGTTTTAAGCCGACCCCACATTATACAACGACTTTCAGATTCCGTTCAAAAAAAAATAAAAATAAAAGACACATTTACTTGAATCAAACGTTGACCGAAGACCCACAAGTGCAAAATATGAACTTTTGTTGCCCTAGGTTCATGATTACAGAAGTATAGAGTGAGACGGGATGTCTTGTTAGAATGAAAAGTTCATTTTCTTTGAAGTTTATGCGATGCTACAAATGCCTGGATTGTGTGCATACGTACCGGGGTCGTTAGCTAGCTGAACTCTAGCCACACAGAGTACCTTCAGCCAGCCAAAAAGCTCATATTTTCACGTTTTCACCTTTTCGGTGCGTAGAAACCTTTCCTGGTCGACATACAGCTGATCTCCTGCCTTTGTCGCACTCACAGTCACAGGCTTGAGCACACATAAGGGCGCGACGCGGCTGTTTTCACCGTGCAAATTTACTTTCACATGGCATTAACGTTCATAATAACAGCAGGACATCGCTGAATTCACTTCACAAGCCAACAAATCACAACGCGCACAGCTCAGTCTCATTGCACAAAGGCATCCTAGGCAAACTCGTGGTCCGTCGCCATTGTTTGACAGCAATGACACTGTGACAGCAATGACGCGGGAGGCTGTCGCCTACGCAATTTCGGTTTCGGTCTCACGCGTAGGCAATTCTTGGACTCTTGATTGGTAGAAAGATGTGCGTTGGATTCGTAAGTTGAGAATAAATATCCACTCGCACCTCCTGCAACTATGTGATGCTGCTACTAGCAAGAACAATTTAATCTGCCTTCCTTGCAGAGGCACAAGGTCGTGCCGCGGGCTTATTCAGGCAGTTTGTACTTGTTTTTTTGGGCAAGGCTGAGTGTCACTGCCTATAATCTGTTTTTCGATTATATGACACCCACATTATATGACAGTTTTGCGTGGTCTCCTGAAAGTCGCGTTATCAGGGTTCCACTGTTAGTTCATTCCTATGAATTAACTGGCAGTTGACAGTTAATGCTTAAGCTATGATGTGTTTTATTGGTTAAGTTGCCATATGGCACCTTTTTTTAATTGCTAAGTGTTTCCAGGATTCTCATTTACACTCAGAAGTAAATATTTGAAGCAAACAAACAGCGCAAGGTCAAGGCTGCTCACGCATGACCTCAAAGCAATGTAATGAAAAACATGTGATGCATGCAGCATGTGTTGTGCATGCAATAAGCCAAAAGTAGTGACAATAGAGCTCAAGTTTCATGACCAACACCTCTGACAGGTCTCTGTTTTTGCACAATGCACTCTGATATAACTGTCACAACAACCAAATGTGTCTGCCTCTATATATACAGACAAAGAAAATAACAATTACATTCATTAAATTATCTCATAAAAGCTTGCATAATACTACAGCACCAGCCATGATGCCGTTTTTTTAACTGCAGCATTCCAAGCTGTATTCTTCAAAATATCAGAATTGTGGGCTATCTGGCAGCATCATCTACAGTTATCACAATAGAACACTCTGATGACAACAGAAAATGACAGGAAAAGGTGATAACTGAGGGGGTGCAACACATCCTGTAAAGTCGTTTGTGCCTCGTGGTGCACGTATTCAGCGCATAGGCCGCATTTTGGGTTACAACTACCATGCGGTAGGTGGCGCTGTGCTTGCGAGCGTTTATGACCACCATCGAATGGTGGCGCCGGCAGTGACGCCTGGCGGCAAGCTTTAGTAGTGGCACAGGAGAGATGAGCGGGTCTCTTTGGCGCGTGGCGGTTGGTACGAATGGTTGTCTCTAGTGTGAGGCCGTAGAGTACGGCACCACGGGTAGGTCGTCTGCCGGGGGCCCTCGTGGTTAGTCAAGCATTGGCGAAGCCGTCTTGTGTTTGTCATGTTGTTGAGTGCAGGGTAATATTGTGTAAGGTTGTTTTAGCGTGTTTATCACATGATGGATAATAATCTGACTGGCGATATCGTTGATTAAAAAAAAAAGTTGAATAAATGTGTATTGTTTGGTTTGTTTCAACCGCATCTGCTGTGTCCGTTCACTCCAAGAGCGTGGCGTTCTCCATTGCGAGACCCCGCATAACTAACAAGTGAAAATTTTATTATTGCATGTGATGTGCTAAATGTAGAGCTGTGCAAATAGCAAAATTTTGTGTGTGAAGCGAAATGAAATATTGAAGCCCGAGTGCGAATCGAATCGACTATTATTAAAATATTTTTCAATAGTTCGAAGAGAAATAGTGGGAAAAAAAAGTTGGAGAGCATACCTAAGCATATTCTTATGAGATAAAGCAACGTGAAAGTGTTTCTTTTTGCTAGATAGATGAAGCACTGGCAGGATGGTACATACTATAATAGTTGTCTTATCAAAAATGAGGCAATGAAGAGGCAGAATTGTATTAGTACATGGTTTGGTTCAACCAAAGTGTTGCTTGCATACAATACTTTACACGTGAAAGGCAAAGATGCTATTTCCTCAGTCTCTCCTCCTTTTTTAACTTCTGTTGAAGCACAATTGATGTGGCGTACAAGGTTGTGCTCCCTTCGAGTTAGGAGTTCCAAATCTGCCTCATAGATGTCAACATACAAAACATTTGAAATTTTTTATGTTAAAATCTTCGGCGTCCAATTTTTCAGACTTCCTGTCCATGTTTCAGGTCCAAAACAGATTTAACTGAGCTACATGATCTGCCACATATATCACCTCCACATTGGCACCAGCGTTTTCTTGAGTTAATACATTTGAGACTGTAGCGGATCGTGAAATACTGCTCTGCCGCAATACGGGAATGTAATGAGGTGAAGCATATTAAAAATTTGAAGGGGGCACTTTTAATTGGTTCGACCAACATGCTCCCGAGTACCCCTTTTCTACCCCTTCCCTCAAGATAAAGTTTTGTTCTTTGTGTTCTTGAGCCATATCGGAGCCCAAAAGTCATCTTTGCGGCAATACGAAAATTTGATGAGATGAAGCATATTAAAATCTGAAGGGGTCACTTTCAATCGGATGTTCACCGCATTTATTTTTGGTAAGTTCAAATAGTAAAAGTTTCAGTGCAAATCGAATCGAGTAGCAAACACTACTCTAAAAATATTTGAAATTTCGAATATGCACACACCCTTAGTTATAGGTAATCACACATATTAAGGAAATACCTTGAACAAACAAACAGTGACGTTTAATAACTACCAATATGCTTAACAGGAGACATCAGCCTCACTTGCTGGTGCACATCTCTCCCCAAAACAATTTTCTGCTACTAAAAATACTATGAAACATAGTTCATGATCTCACCTGTTTAGGAATTTGGCCAAAGTTGTTGATGAAACCAATGGTGGCATTCTTCTTCAGTGGGTCATCAATGCTGTAAATGTCAACATTGCCCTCGTAGAAGAGGTGGTGGAAGACATTGACGGCCTCTACTGCCGGCTGGCCCTGTTGCTTGTAGCCAAAGATGAGGTCAATCCACTCGTGCAAGTGTGCACTGACAAAATCGCTCTCCAGAGCCTGCATAAGCCACAGAAATGCATAGACATGTGGAAATGAAAGTGCGTGGGCAGTGGTGTCATGAAATCAATATACACTGACAACTCTGATTGACTGACTGAAAGAGTGATTGATATGCAGGGTTTAACCTCCTGAAACCACCACATGATTATGACAGATGCCGTAGTGGAGGGCTCCGAAAATTTCCACCACCTGGGGTTCTTTAATGTGCACCCTAATCTGAGCACACGGGCCTACAACATTTCCGCCTCCATCGGAAATGCAGCCGCCGCAGCCGGAATTCGATCCCGCGACCTGTGGGTAAGCAGCCGAGTACCTTAGCCACTAGACAACTGCGGCGAGGCCACTGATGACAATGTGACTTCGTTGTAAAGGTAAGTGCATGCACATCACTACCTGGCACAAGATGATATTCTAAGTATCGACTGAAAATGGAAAATTGTTATGAACCCATTTCTAGCCCAAAACTACAAAGTACATCCAATTAGATTTCTCAAAAAGAAAACTTCTGGCTGGTGAAAAATTCATCCTGGTCTGAGCGTGGAGCCCAGGATCACCAGAGTCTGAAGCCGTCACTTTACCATCTCAACTAAACAAGAGGCTAGCAGATCACAACACGAGGATAAATTAATCATTGACTTGAAGCACAGAATATTGACTGCTGCAAATCTGTTCTATGAAAACCTGCAATCATTTTACTAAACAGGGTGTCTACCAATTAAATATTTCTAAATTCACTGACTTTTCCAGGTTTTCCATGATGATTAAAAGCGAATTCCATGACCGCCATGTCCGCATGGAAAACTCAATGCACGGTAAACAAACTCTTGAGTGGTAAAAAAAAAACAAAAAATACAGGTACTCCATGTAAGTAAACATAATTACCAGACGCACTGAGAATGTTTTGAGCACGTGCGGTATATGTGAAAAAACATGCATAGCCAAAATAAAACCCCTGAGCCAGGAAGTGAGAGTCAGCTGTTTGATGTTTGGAAGAACCAGGAAGCAATCACACAAGTTAAAAGTAACCTAAGATGAATGCTTGAAGGAACCTGCGACAGTCCCGACAACGCAGTGAAAGCTGATAAGAAACACAGAAGTGGTGCCATCTCACGGCATCTGTGTAAAATGTGGACACGGGATCCTGGCCGGCTCTGCCACTGGAGTATAATCCATTTTATTATAATGGTTGTAGCCCAAGCCTCTCAAGATGTGGATTGGATTGAATTAAATCAACTTGAACTGCTGTATTTACTGATTCAACAATACAGGACGTGGATTGGATTAGATCCAATTCGATCTGGATTGCTGTATTTACTATTGATTTGTGTCACCACCTAAACTGTGCACCTCTAAAATATACTTTTAGCGAAACAAAAATAAATTACTACTCGCGTACTCTATGTACCTTGCCTTGACAACGACTCGACAACATTTAAAAAACAGAGCTGTGCTGCAAAATTTCTTTCTTTTTTTTTTTTTTCGACAAGCATGTGCATATTTGTCATTTGTGTCTCTGGGTTCTGATACTTGAAGTGCAATGAAAGCTCCGGACAGCGTTTAAAGTGCAGATATTTGAATATGTGGTTGCGAGAATGAATCTGTCAAGGTGCAACAGCTTCCTTCATTCCACAGAAGAATAACGAATGTCAGCACGTTACCTTAATTTAAGTACTATGTTGTAGATGTGACGCTGAAAAATAATTGCAGATTTATTTATACAACCTTACGAAACTGAAATGAAAAATTTAGCTGAACTTACCTAAGTGCTACCTTTGAAACATGAGCTACCAGCACTAAGTGTGTAGCTGAGGACGTTTGCTGTTGCATCACCAATAATAATAATAATAATAATAATAATAATAATAATAATAATAATAATAATAATAATAATAATAAAAGGCATGAGTAGCCCGGCAAGCTTCTGCTGATGACAGTTCTAGCCTAGACACACCAGGCGGCCTTAAAGCCGAGCAGCAACCGTGGCGTAGATAAACATGCATTGATTTACAGATGTGAGTGAAGTTGTCGTTTTAAAGTCAGATAGGCTGTGTGATATGTGGAAGCAACAGACATCAAACTAGTGGATGCTCCAACATAGAAGCTAAGGAATGCTTTAGCCGATGTGAAGGACAAGTTGCCGAGCACAATTTCCATATTCTTGTTTATGCCATAGGCTGCCGCAATGGTGACAACCAGTACATGGGTGAAACTGGTGATTTCAAGAAAAGATGATGAACACATCCCAAACATGATGCTACGAAACGATGCGTGGCCTCGACTGCCCTCGCTGAACATGCGGAATCTACAGACCACTAAATAGACTTGTAAAACTCGAGTGTTCTGGACAAAGAAAAAACCTGCATCTTCACACGGAAGGGGGGGACTAGAGTAAATGCGTCATGAAATGGTGGGGGTGTCACGATTTTGTCTTTATTATTCATATTTATTGAATGAAAGAAAAGCAATACTTTCAACTGTTTCTTCAACTGTTCAGCGAAAGCCAAGCAAAGACACCCTTTACTGAATTCCGAATGCCCGATCCAGTGCCTACATATACGGGGTGGTCAGTGAACTGTTGTGCAGAGTGAGCAGTCGGTTTTTGACTAGCAGACGCTGCCTGTGTCGGCCTAGCAAGGCGAGAGAGCGGGCAGAGCGACAGTTGGAACGCGACCCTAGGGGTGTAGACAGAACCGCCGACGCCGGATTTGCGAGTAGGTTCGACAATAAAACGCTCCGCATTTGAAAGAAGCTTGCATTATGCCTGCACCTGAAATCCAGATACAGATGACTGTACATAAGCTGGACAAGAGTGATGAGATGCTTCTGACAATGTACTCTCGCTGCTTACGTCACGTATTTAGGAGTATTTAAGTATGCTATGCCTTTCTTATGGCTTTTATTGTGAACAAGGCTCCCCCCCTTATCAGGTACTGAAACATCAGTAAACTTTGTGTTGTATGGGTCGGTGTATCCTTTCACGTTTACACTCAGAAGCAAGAGTTATGCACTGTTTTTTTTTTTCACACGTCTCCTAGCAGCTCACTGTAGTAGCAGCTGAGAAAGATTCTTTTAAGCTTTGATCAATGGTAATGCTTATTTTTGTGACGGTCGCACAGAACTTCTGTCAGTTTCCATGAGGCCAGGTTTTTCAGAAATTCGCTGACTTTTCCATGACTTTTCCAGAATAGCCCAAATTCCTCGACTTTTCCAGGTTGGTAGACACCCTGCTAATATATTCCCACCTCCTTTTCTTTTCTTTCTGTTTATCCTTGGTTTTGCTATGAATTGCTAACGGAGGTATTGCATGCTCTGCATTAGATGAACTGAAGTCATGCCATGATCAGTGGCATTCCAAGCAACGCACATTGTGCACAGCATTTATGCATTTAAAGCTCAGTCTCGCTCAAAGCGCAGGCTTCTGTTTTCAAGTTTTACCATCCATGCACATTTTTCATACTTTGCAGACATAAGTGTCACTGAAAGATTAAGGTGCTGTACTTGATTGTTAACAATACCCAAACCTGGTGGAGGGCCCTTCAATATAAAATTTTAAGTTAAAATGGCAAAGGTGTCAACGATGTATCAAAATGAAAAAAAAAATCCTAATATTGCAACTTTCACACTTACAATCTTTTTGTCATTTCCCCCCTTCAAACAAAGTGGTCTGCATGACAAGAATAAGTTGCATTCAAATCAGCATTGTTCGTACCATCCGGTGCACTCGTATGAATTCTCGAGGGTCTCCCTTTGCCCAAGGTGGAAGCACTATGTTGTCGAGTTGAACTCCGTTCTGCTTGCAGCCTGTAGAACAATGCAAAACAACCAAAACACAAGGTGAGTGTCAGAGAAAGGCAATCATACAAGGACGTATATTGCTGAATCTAAATGCTGTCAGAAAAAGGTCATAGACTATGACATACCCAGGTCAAAACGATTGCTGTTCAAAAGGAACTCAGGCAAATAGAAGAACTCGGGAATGAGTTCCTTGACATCAGCCATGTTGTGCTTCGAGGCAGAAAGCCAAGCATCTTTCACGCTGTGAAACATGCGGTCTGCCAGGTCAAAGTGGCCCCCCTAGAGAAGATAAAAAACACGGTGAGGAGAGTTAAAAATAAGAATTAAAAAAAAAATGTGTCTGTGCACAATGCACAGAAGTGTTGCAATGAAATGCCACTGCACAAAAAATAATACATCAAACGCCCATGTTTTTTTTTGTTTTTTTTTAATAATCCACCATGCAAAACAACATTAAAAAGAATGTGTCACCTGTAGTCTCAGAAAATGTTGGGTGAAGGGTTCCATCCGAACAAGGTAGGAGGCCACGATCATTGCAGATGAATAAAAAGTACCATAATGATAGGGCGGGGTCTCTCCTGTAAAAAAAATTAGGTATATTTTGGTGCACAAATTCTATTGCCTAAATCTGGAACAACCTCGTCCCTCTGACTTGACAAGACATGATGATACAAAGCAAGCACAAAACGAACCATGAGGGTCATCCCATTCGCGGTAACGCTTTTTGAACTGTTCGAGACGATCACTTGTCTGAGCACCCATTGGTTTGCTGAAGTCGCGGAAAGTTGCTGAATCATTCAGATCTAGTTCCTGCAAATTCATGTGAAAATTTTTCATTTCGTTAACTGAAAGAGAATAAAGATTGTGTATAATTAAAAAACAAAAAGAAAAGCTACTTACTTCTGAATCATAGTCAGCGAGAACCCAAGGAAAGACTGGGTATTGCATTAGATCATTGTATGACCTGCCTGCCAGTGTGTTCAAATGCATCAGGTACTGGAAATTGCTGATCTCGCCCCTCTGCAAAATATTGCGACCAACTTTTCATAGCACTGCACTTGATGAACATAATAGAACGCTGATAAACACATAAAATGTGACTTCATTGTATTGCAGCATGCGGCCGCACCATTTTATATCTTCAACAAATTAAAGGAATGTCCGCAATCACTTCACAGACCCTACACAAAATAATACCTAGTATGTATAAGTGTTTCATTAATGGTTAAACGGTTCACATAGCAATAAAATCAAAGATAAAATCCAATTGTAAAAAAATGGCACACTGCAGTTTTTCACAGCTATAAGCTCAGTTCTGAGTTAGTCTAAACTGATTTTGTTAGCAAATGTCTATTCCTAGTATTCCACCTTGTGCAAAAAAGTCCGATAGTTCCTTGGCATAGATATAATGCAAACCCCCGCCCCACCCCCTTTGCTTTCTTTTACTCGGCCAAGGCTACAAAATAAAACACAACTTTTTTTGCAAGGTTTTACTCACCAGCCATCGCTGTGTTACTGACGTCTCTCCTATGAGGTTGCTAAGCAGACTTGCCCTAAAACACACAAAAAAGTCATGTTAAAATACGGAACAAAAGTGCGTATCATGTGACCATTATGTGACGGTGCAAAACAACAGAAAAACAAAGGAATGGGGTACAGACAGGTATCCTGTCCATATACAGTGTAGACCACTTATAACGTAACTGCTTATAGTGCAGAACCGGTTATAATTGTCGTCTTTTTCGACTCCCGTTCACCCTCCAATAGAACCACATGTACACACATACTGCTTATTGTGCAGTCCACCAAGATGAAAGACCGGATATAATGCAGTTGCCGGAAAATCTTTGTGACAAAAGTGGTAGCACGTATGAAAGGAGGCGCACTGAGTCAATGCCATCTAGACTCCTGAAGGCCCCCGCACTCCTCTTTTCCCGTCGTGTGACGTCGCCCTACTCCGCCCTAGGAGGTGAGCCACCCCTGCTCAGACGATGTTTGGGCGACCTGTGGGCAATTGCACTAGTTGCAACTCTCCCAGCATTCCTTGCTCTTACTGTCTCGGCGCTGTCAGTCACAGTCAGTGCTGTGGTAACAAGAGCTCCTCGCTGGCAGCAAATGTTTCGTCGTTGTTCCTGTGGTGCTGGTTATTTTTGTTTTTTGTGCCTTTCTGCCACATATGCGGAACAGTAGGACATTTCTGTATTTAAAAACTGCAAAGGAAATTACAACACTGGCCACAAAGTACGATTGTTCAAGTTCCCTTGTTATCCTGAGCGGAGATCACAATAGCAGTGAGCTGTGCGGTGCGGCGACATAGATGCTGCAAAGCATCAGAATCCACTGGTGTTTGTTTTTGGGTATGTCACCTAAAAATATTTGGTACAAAAGGTTACTAGGGATGTAACTTTTTGCAAAAATGATAGTAAGACCTGTCGATGTGTGAAGAGAGAGCTTTCTGGGTGCCAACTTTTTTCACGTGGTACCTACAAAATATGAGATCATTAGCCTATTTTACATCCACATGACTTGCTGCTGTATGGTTGTTCTTCATAGAATTCGTTGTTAAGCTAGTTTGTAACCCTTCATATTGTAGGTACTAAGCAACTTCGTATTCCCTCTAAAAAAACGCCTACATTCATGCACGCATTCGCTCAAGTATGGGATGCATTTCTCGATTGGGTGCAGGTTTTTAGAGTTGCACAAAGTAGCTTCAACATAGGTTTTTTTTTTCTCACTCACTAGAACTGTGAGGGTCACATTAGACCATAGTTTTGGCGTCATTTCGTCTGGTTGAGTGCTTGAGTGCATTTTTGTTTGAAACACATTATGCAGCTGCTGCCTTTAAAATATAGCATAGGACGCCGCAATTTTTAATAGCATAGCTTGAATTATACTATTGTCTTTTTCTTCTTACCTTTATTTCTTACTTTAGTTACATATGTGCACAGAGGCACAATTCACAGAGAAACCGATTGATTTTCATCTATACCTTTTGTGCAGGTATGCGAACGTCACTTCAAGCAATTTTTCTACACAACCCTGACTATTTGTCGGATACTCACCAATCGAGAGAAGAACCAGGGATGAAGAAAAAATGAAGAGAAGATGAGCAACTTTAGAAAGCTATCGAAGAGTGCATGCTGGGGCACAAGGAGTTGAATGAAAACAAGTTATAAAGCCTGGACGACATTAAGTCTCGTGTGCACCTGCTACACGCAAAACATTGGTCAGTTGTGAATGCCGATGGCCATGTCATCATTGCGCACATAGAGGCAACAATGGAAGAAGCTCCGAAGCTTATTTCTTCTACAGTCATATCATCGTATATGTCTGTGTGCACCTTTGTGGGAGGTGCTCACCTTACGTCAGATGAACCGCTTGCCATTCCAAAAGTAGTTCACGACATGCGTGTGCTAGTGCAACTTCTGGACAAAGCACAAGAGTACTGCGGTAAAAGAGAACTTGTGCAAGATGAAAAAGTGAATGGAGTGTCAAAGCTTGTCGTTACACTCTTTGATGATATTTCTAGAGAAGACCTGCTGGAGGACGGGAGAGCAGATGCAATAATGTTCCTCAGAGAACAGTGCCAGCTCCTGATGAGATAGACAAAAAGGTATTCGGCTGGACTATTAATTCTCTCAACTGTGTTTCGCACCATTTCCTTTTGTCGTTATAACTTTTTGCGAAGCAGTGGAAACATTGTATTGCCTCACCCTTCGACAACCAAACGTGTATGTGCCGCCCATGATGCGAGTCCTCTGAAAGAACAGAATCAAGAAGGGTTCTTATGATACATGAAAAGAAAGGCCAGCCCACTGAAGTTGAATGAAACAAATGTCGCGTTGATGCTAAACGAATTACATCTACAACGATTTTTTTACTACAGCTACTGCTAACAGCATTGAACCTGTGAAAACAGCGCACATTTTTATGATTCAGAATTTGTTGTCAGCATTTAAAAATGTAGCACAAATATCACTGGTGTCTAAAATTAAAGCTGAAGAACTACATAAGGCGCTAAGAGACGTAATAATCATTCTTGAAGATTGTGGCTTTCATGTCATGGCAGTAATAAGAGGCAATAATTCAATTAACAGAAAGGTGATATTGCTGTTTGCAGAAAGCAGCAACAAAGAAATCATGTATCCTCACCCAGAGGATCCTCAAACCTTTATTTCACCTTGTTGACTCAATGCATTTAATAAATTAAATTGAAAATAACTGAATTAACCAGAAAAAATCTGAGAAGTGCCTGTACTATCCTCATTTTGATTGTTATGACGATGAGAGCAAAAGGCTGCAAGGTGTATCATTTACAACATAAATAAAACTTCATGAAGCTAAAGAAAGTAGTGATATGAAAATTGCCTATGGGCTAACTTACAATTCCCTGAGCCCAAGTAACTCAGAGCGACAAAATGTTAAGCTTGCTCTCAAGATATTTAGCCCCGTTTGTGTCATCGGTTTCGAGAATTCAAGATGAAGCTTTGCATTTGGTCGTAGCTCATTTTTTTTTCATTGAATAATTGTAAAGTAGTGGAACATCGTGAATGTGAAAGCTCCTCATAAAGGCTGCAGGCTAAAAGATGTGTGGCAGGAGCCAGTGCGCAATATTAGCTGCGAGCAGCTGCATTATCTGTACAACGTTGTCAGTTCGCTTGATTCTCGGAAGGACAGAAACGTGCAAACAGGCGCTCTCACAAAAGAGAACCACACAGCTTTACGGCTAACTACATATGCCCTGATCAAAATATCTAGGTATTGCTAGGAGGGACTCAACTTTAGTTACGTGCTTCTCAGTAAATTCCAAACTAACTCACTTGAAGCTCGCTTTAGGAGATACACGTGACTACTATGTGGTTCGCACTATAACATAGCGCTCTCACAAAAGAGAACCACACAGCTTTACGGCTAACTACATATGCCCTGATCAAAACATCTAGGTATTGCTAGGAGGGACTCAACTTTAGTTACGTGCTTCTGAGTAAATACCAAACTAACTCACTTGAAGCTCGCTTTAGGAGATACACGTGACTACTATGTGGTTCGCACTATAACATGTCGACAACACAAGTGCTTGAGACTGAGGCTAAAATCTACCTACGAAGCACATTGATTTTGACAGACATGCCTGAATCACGCAGTCAGAAGAAAAACCAGCCTAATGCTCACGATACAATCACGAAGTATGACATCCGTATGACCAATGCTGAATTAAACAAGCCACAGCAGGACATGGCTGCGCTGGTCTGTATCACTGGCTACTGTGCACACCCAGCTCTTAAGCGAAAACACTGTAATGACTGCCGTAACGTACTGACAGTAACAGAGCAAGAACTGGAAGAAAGTGACAATGCGTTAATTGACAGCAATAGTCGAGGTGGACTGAAGTTTCTACAGCGAGCTGTTATTCATGCCATTCTCTGCGTGAAGGTTGTTTTCGACCGTGTCACTGGTAAAATGTATGAGCACCTGTTTCATGCTGAAAGTAATCATCGATTGACACTACTGAGTGTTCTTATGTATTTCTTGAATGACAACGAAGATTTTGATGCTTGTGCAGCTAGCCACACTCCAGACTCAGTGATGAAAAATGTTTTGCTGCGAGCAATAAACGTCCTCCTCAAGAACTACCCTTCTCTTAGAAATGAAGCGCTGAGCGAAAAGAAATTGAGTGGAACGAAAAGAAAGTTGACTATTTTGAAGAGATCATGCATTTTATTTTCCTGACTGCGTATATGTGTGTTTGTGTGTGTGTATTCACTCCCGAAATAAAATTTATTTCTTGTTCTAAAACTATCATTCGTTTGGTATCGCTGTACGAACTGCTTGAAAGTGTGGGCAGAGCACAAATTTAAAAGAACAGTGACGACATAATTCTCCATGCTGTAAGAATTATGTTAAACAAATTAGACCATCTCAGGCAACGAGAAATTACTCGTAAAATAATCCACCTAATAAATTCAACTGCAAAAAAAAAAAACAATAACGTTCAGGTTTGTTAGATTGGAACCGTGTCGTCCGTAGCATTCGGTTACAAGCAGCAGCTGTCATGTACCACATACCGGTAAAAAAAGGACAGAAAAAAAACGAGAGGACACACTAAAGCTATATGTGCAAATGTACGTGTGCGGTCGAACCAAAAGGCACCTCTACGGCGGAGTGCCTCAATATATGAAACAGCCTTGCATTAGCCTCACGATCACCGCATTAACTTATTTAACACAAATTAAAGTAAAAATAGCGTTCATAGCTAAGCCGGCAGCAGTCAAGAAGCGCCACTCACTGGCTGAGTGTGGTGACGTACCGGAGGAGTGCGGGGGGCTTTCAGTAGTCTAGGTGGCATTGGCTGGGTGCGCCGCTGGGGAGCAACCGACAAGGTTGTAACGAAAGAGGAGAGGACGCGGAGTGAAGAAACAAAGGGTGGAGGGAAGAAAAAGAAAAAAAAAAAAAACGCGGCACACTATGCAAGCTCGCTGAATAAAAGAGTTTCCTGTCGGGGAACTTGATAAGGACTTTGTTATCGAGCTTGCTACAGATATCATGTTTGCTTGCTTGTCCGCAAATTAAAAACCTTCTATGGTTTTATCATGCAACCTTTCACCTTTGCTATTAGTGCACTGTCTTTTGTAAGCTTGGCGGGTTTTCGCTGTTGATCTCCCGGCATTGAAAGCGAATTTCGTATTACGCACGCTGATCTTGGTTCAGTGCTTGAGTGCGATCTTTTCGACACCGGATCTTCATGTCTTGAAGAAACTTCCCACAACAACATACTGAATGGTTGGCTAGGCCTAATCGGCGTTATTTGCGTTTCGGTAGCAGTAGCGTGCTAAGTTAGGGTTTGCTGCGGAAACAAAAAAACTCTTTGTAGCCACTGCACTTGATGAGAAGGGATACACATCGTTAATAAACACGAGGGTGGCACTTGTAGCACTCGAATGGTGGTCTGCAATTAGATGTCAATGTCTTGAAATCTGGAACGCGCCCATGAAATCGAACAATTGACATCTTTTAGTACGTGATGTTCTAGATGTGATTCGACATAGTTTCTGTGTAATGCGCATAGTCGTAAGTTAATTACAGATTTGTAGGACAGCAATGAATTTAGCTTATGAGTAAAACTTTCTAACCAAATTGCGACAATTTTCTCTTCATAGAAACCCAGAGAAAGGCTTCCTGCTCAAATATTTCAGAGTTTTAGCTTGGATAGCTTTGTCCCTTTGTTGGTAATGCCTAAACAAGTGGAGCCGTAAATTGCTGAATTCAAGTAGTAATAATTCATGAACTATTCGTCACAACCCAAAACAACTTTGTGTAGACATTAGGTACATTGTAGCTTTGAAACCCATTCAATGTTCTTGTTCTAGACAAAAAAGGAAAAAGTTATTTACTCATAAACTTACATTGTTTTGCATATTTTAATTGGAGCCTGCATCACTTCCTAATTGCTTTACTTGTAACATCTCTTCATAGAAACCTTGAATAACACCTCATTAAGAGGCTCAGAAAAATTTTTTTGCTTATGTTAACAGTTTTGCTGCACTGTCAATACAACGAAGAAGGCTTGTACAGCAAAAACACCGGTTTTCACTAGCACTGTTTTCATTTCTGTGCAATAATAGCGCTTCGCATTAGGTGACAATACTAGCTGTCAATAGAAAGTAGAAAACACAAGCTTTCTAATGCAATACAATTCATATGAATACAGTGAAATCTCAGTATAACGAACTTCAGGGGGCCGTGGCAATTGGTTTGTTATTTTGAAAGGTCATTATAGTGAAAGCCCAAAAATTAACCATAAATACCTATTTTCAACCGACCAAAATGACTTACCTTTACAATGGTGGATCCTTGAACTTGTTTTTCACGAGAAAAAACAAACGCACAAGTGAACACCAAAAAATGTACGTTTACTTCAAAAAAGTCTGTGATATTTAAAAATTTTTTTTTGACGGGTGCAGCACATACTTTGCAGTGCGAAGGCCTTCAGCTCATTTACATTCCTGTGGTGCGATTTGGTTCTTTGGTCACAACAGCCTGCTTTTTGCCTTCCAGTTGCTGAAGAATATCCACTTTCTCGCTTAGTGAAAACTGCTTTTGCTTCTTCCTCGCAAGCAGAGATGAACTAATTTAAAGTAGCACTGCAGTGCGAACGCAGACTTACTTAGCGGATGCGATAAGTAATCACCGAAAAGAGATGAACACGACTGACAAACAAGGCCTCCTAGAGCACATGTACAAGAAACAAAAAAAGAAAAAGCCGAAGCGTCACGGCTGTCATTGCCTCTCCTGAAAAAAAAAAAAAAAGAAAGGTCTAAAAAAGAAAATTCTTTGCGTTTTGTTTTCTGCTCCCTCACTGTCTCAGGTTTTCCGCGCCCATACTTCCTGCTCCGCAACTCCCACTCTAAAGTGTTCTAGTTTTTTACCCGCTCTGCCTCGCTGACCTTGCCCTCCCGTGTTGCCCTCGACCCTCGCCTCAGCGCTTGTAATTCTGCAAATTGGCGTTTCAACAAATAAAAAAAAAATAACCTCGCCTTTTCATTTTTTTTTTTTTCTCTCGGCACCGTTGCGCGTCTTCCGAGAAGCAAGGCATCCGTTCGCTTTGTCTTCTGCTTGCGTACCGCTCCAATGGTTCCTATGGAGCGGTCGGGATGCACCGTCGGGACCACACGAGTTCAGAGTGATGAGGCGTTGTTAATATAATACAGAACTAAATTTATGCTCATTATTATAAAAAGTTCGGTATTGTGAAGTACGTAGTAGTGAAGTAATTTTACATTGAAACTACCAGCAGTCAGTGCGGGATTTTTTGAAAGTTCATTAATGTGGGGTTCGTTCTACCGAGATTTCACTGTACGATGAGCGCAGTAAGCATAGTGCGTCAGCAAACAATCACTAAAATGCGGAGCGGGAGCCGCCAGAGTGGGACCCCTACCTTAATTGTGTACCTATGTACAGTTGGCCAAATATTTAGCTATCATGCGTGAGTGGCAGTTTTTTCTGTGCATCTTTGCCATACGACTGAATTAAGTTTCGGTTCAATTAAGGAGAAGTGTACGCCCATAAAGCACATGTCCACGAAGCAATCTTTTGTAACTTCGTTCCATAATATGACGCTGACAGACAAAGAAGTGGCCGTTGCACACAATAGCTGAAGTTTCGGCCGACTGTACCTCCTAAACTTCTGCCATCGAGGGAGACAATTCTCAGCAAGTAAGTGCTTTGATAAAGACAACAGCTTTGATAAAGATGTATTGCATCTTACCCAGACTCTACATTGGCGCCTCTGCGTTGACCTGCCAAGGACTCCTGGGCGCTGTCAGTTATTGCAGTGGCTGCTGACAAGAAACGAGTGTAGACCTTGTTGCGGACTTTGCGTGGAAACACCAGCAGGTAGTTGCGCCCATCAGCTGAGAAAACTTCCAGGGCTATTGGCTATTGAAAGATGAGGCACGCTTCATCAGCACATCTTGCTTTGAAATTTATTGACGTGAAAAACTGAACTGGAAAGAAAAGCTGAAGGAAGTCATACAGCCATGTGCGATAATGTACATCAAATCGATGTTGACATTTCAGAAGCCCAGGGATTAATTTGACACTAATGCGAGCCTGCTTTTTGTGGCCAGAAAAGAAAAAAAAAACAGCGACTTCAAATCTCTATACTAGCATACACTGGCTTAGGTATAAGAAATTTTGGTCTTTCTGCTTGCACAGGTGACTTAAAGAGGCAATGACACAAAATTTCATGGCCAAGATAGCCTGTGGGATCGATTTCCATGAATATGCGCATATCATTTGCACAATATCAACAGCAAACATAACTTATAAGGTATCTTAAATTAATTTTGAAGTTTGAATTTTAAAGGTATTGACACCATCAGAAAGGACCCCAAAGGGACCCACCCCCTTGATTCCCTCACGTAAACCCACTGCTGTCAATAAAACAAGTTATGACGACGTCATAGCCGCCATTGTTCTTTTGCCGCATTTGTTCCAGCAGACTGTACTTCTCGGTGGCTGCTCGCAAGTCCGTGGCGCACATGTTGAAAGTTTTGTGTTTGGCGAGACTGCTGTCACACTTCCAGTTCAAAAGAACTTCTTGATGTGGACCGTGCAAAAGTGTGCCACTGTTTTGTGTGCTGACATGGTCAAGACTGCAAAAGCTATGTGGTAATAGTTGCACCTGGTGGCTTGTTTATGGAGCTCTCTCAAACCAAAACTGAAACTGGTGATTAATGAGGAGCCTGTACTCATTATTTGTCGTACGCTGCAGCAAACGATATGTCGTGTTATGACTAACAGACCTCCAACAACACACTGCAGCAAAAAAAAAAAAAAAAAGAAAAAAAAAAAAGCGAGATCAAAGTTTTCGTGTCGGTACTCCTTCAACAAAAAATATGGTGCGTAGTAATGACACAGGGCAGTATCAGGTGGGCTTTTTAAACTAGCCTACACATCAAACCAATGAAACATTCTAGATTTACCAGAATCCCAGTGACCCTACCATACTAACAAGGGGTGAATAATCAGCCATGGCCTTTGAGCCAGGAAAAAAAAAAGAATAAACCTAATGAGTGTGGCATTTCTAGTCAGCATGTCAAGCGTGATTGCCATGTGATGAAAGTCTGATCGACAGTGTAGAATCCAGCTTTTTCACTGAAATGCACTGCACCTGCATTTAGTAGACGCAGAGGTTGAACAGGCATTACCACAGCATACACAGCACCTCCTAGTACACAGGAATGTGACATGTCTACGGGAAGTGGTCAACGCTTGGCAAACTTCACGATCATGGGGCAATGTGTGGTTTGAGTGCAATTCTTTCAGTTACAGGAACTGAGCTTGGTTTAAGAGAGTTCTTCAGCTTTTAAAAAAGGGCTGAAAGCAGGCTAGATGGCATTATGACAGCAAACCATGGAGTGTTTACTGAAAGGTCTAAGGCGTTTATCAGTCTATTAAACTTGATATACAAGCCAGTTTTAGTCAACTTCCTCAGATAATAGAAATAGTTTTGCCTAATGCTGAGGTACGAAAAGCAATAACAAGGTTTAGAACCTCCCTCGAGCTCCTAGACATTGTTCTAACATCACACTAAGACAACATATTCATATGACGCAATGTTGTGCATCATGCCAAGATGTCTAGATTGTGAAAATTCTCCACATTAAGCAACAGGGTGGCAGCATCATGGTGTAAAAATGTCTTAACAGGGGACGAGGGACTTAAAATTGCCCAAAATTGTAAAAAGTGCCGACTTTCAAAAATTTGCAATTTGCAGCATTTATAGTTGAAATTGTACTTTATAAAAATTTTATATTATGGCAAAATCTCATTTCTTTGTGTTAAAACCTTAATATATAAAATTACAAATGTTTTTAAAATGGAAAACTTACTTTTCTTGGCATTTTTATTTTTGTGAAGTGAATGAGGCTCATGGAAGTTTTTAGCAAGTTTCTGTGAAGATATCTAAACAAACTTGGTACCAACCTTTTCTTCTTCTGTCAACCCTGATAGAATTGCAATTATATTACAAATACCAGCTAATTAGTGGAAGCTAATTTTTACCTTCCAAGTTTAAAAATTATTTCTGATCAAAGAAATAACTGTTTTGACATCCAGTTTGCTTTAGCTTGTAGGATGAACCTTTTATAGGAAACATGCAGTTTTGAAAATAAAGTTTTTTTTATTGCGAGTTACCATAACGACTCGGAAGAAATTACCCAATTATTATATGGACATTTGGCATTGCTTTTTTTATAGACGACATACTTTAAAACTGTTTGCAGATTTGAAATCTCCATTGAATGGTACACATGCATGGTGATTTTAATGACAGTAGTATAGTAAATAAAAAAGTTTTTTTTAAGACCCTCGTCCCCCTTAAAGGAGACAAATCTCAATCATAATCTGTGTTATGCAGGTTAATCCTTGAGCTTTCACAAACAAGCAGGCAAAGCTGTAGCACATTTGGTCGAGCAGTTAATTTATTATTGAATATTTAGCGAACACACGAGTAACCTCCGAGACAGGCAACGCTGGCACACTCGCAAGCTGTTACATAACAAGTAGTTTGCTGTGTGAGCATTTGCATTCCCACGAACGGTTTCGTTCTAGTGTCATCTGCACGTGAATTTGAGATACCGTATTTGAGCCTTCTTCTGATTATTACTGAAACTGAATGATTTGCAATGGCTAACACTGTAATAGAAAACGATGGCACCGCTCCTTGCTGCACGTGACGTCAGGGGCGGATCCAGCCACTCATGTTTGGGGGGGGGGGGGGGAGCTGTCGTTTAATGTAACACAGAAGATGGGGGTGTAGTCATGACTTTTTGTGTTTACTAGTATAAAATCTCTTTCATGACATAAATGCTTTTAATGTGAGCTCACAGCCGTTTCACTTATTTAAGGGGAGGGGGGGGTGTGATGACATAGACTTTGGAAGGGGCTATCACCCCCCCCCCCCCCCCCCCCCCCCGCCTTCTGGATCCCCCACTGCGTGACGTCATGGGCACCATGGCAAAATCACAGTTGCTGGCTGTGGGAGGGATGTACAGCCGATGACTTCTACGGCCTTTTTAGCACAGAAACATACTTTTACGGCCCACTTTTCATACCTGCATAGGCATAATAAACCTTCTACTTCTACTTTTCACTGAAAACTACACATTGTTGGATGACCATGTCATAGCCCCTTGAAATGTCTATGTAATTACTATTATAATAAAAAATTGAGTGCATTTAAATAGCACAAACATCCTATGTACAGTAAATAAGCGATGCGTAGCAACCTACCTGCAGAAGGTATCGTCGCTTGTGCACCTCACGTATGTCATCATATGAAAATTTACTGCACCTAAAGGAGAAAGTCAGGTGGCAAAAAAAAAAAGGAAACGTTGTGTTAGCTTTAGACTGTTTCCTATGTCTCCAATCGTTTTTAAGATTTGTTACTTACATTCTCTTCTGGTGCTTGCTCCTTGGGGAAGAGTTAGGAATAATGGGGTCGTGCATGCTGCAAAATGCAAGAAAAAAAAAGTAGTAAGTGATGTTACATAGTAAGTCTTTTTTATTGTTCTCCTTTGACAAAGTATCACTGTGTGGAAAAAGAAAACAAAAGCAACCTTGCCACTTACAGGAGGGTGCATGCCCCAAGTATGTACGATCGGCATCACATGAAACCCGAACAGCGGAAAGCCTTCGCGACGGTATAGTGTGTGCCGTCCAGTTATCACCATTGACAGACACACAGGTCTTGGTCAACAGCTCTACGCATACAGTAGACTCCCTTTAAAACAAACTCGAAGGGACCATGATAATTTGTTCCTCTTATCAGAAGTGCCCCTAAAAAACAAATGTTAACATGCCAAGTGTGCACAAATATGTTGCTTGAAAACACTGAATGGAGTATATTTACAATGGGCAGGAAAGGAACAAGAAAAAGCATCTATTTGGCCCACCTTGATAAAAACCATGCTTTCAAGTAGAGTATTTACACTAATTTAACACGTACTCAATTTCCCATGTTCATAATAAATATGCTCACGAATAAATTGCTACAAAGATAAGAAGAAAGTGACAAGCTCAATTTTTTTTAAAGAATGAAAAATTCACTCTTCTGGCTGTTCACCTTCTGAGGGGCTGTCTTACTGGCATTGCTATCACTTTTGGATAAGCCCCCATTGCATACCACTACCTTGACAAAGCCAATGTATGCCAAGCTGCTTATGAAAGTCTACAATCTTTTCATTGGGATTTGGATATTCTCTTATTGTCAGGCTGCGCTAACTTTTCCTGAACAAGGTGCAGCTGAAGGTCTCCGTTTATGCTACTCCCGCTCACAAGCCTCAGGCACACAAAAAAAGACACGACACAGCTATATTTAGTGTGCGAAATTACCTTCCTTTGTCGCGCACTTTTATAACGAAAGTGGCGCATCATAATTTACTGCATTTCACTGTGAACAGATACAATGCACACAGGCCCTGTGCAAAACAACAGAAACTGGCCACATGTGCTCAGGTGCCATTGTGAGACGCCGATGACAATGCACCTGACTTCTCAGATGGGAGTGCTTGTGCCGCATATGTACTTTCAGTTTCATGTGATTATAATGCCCAATCTTTGTTTCTGTTTTCATTTTCTTTCATTTGGCTTTTTTTTTTGCAACCCTCTCCTTTTATTTTCCCCCTCTAGTGAAGCTCTTATTCTTCCGTTCTCCACTGTACTCCTGTTGTGGAACTAAAAAACGCGAGGGAAATACAAAAAGATAAATGCTTTTTGTTGCTTTCTTTGCTGCTGAATCTGGCCCTTTCTTCACCTATAGACAAGGGGTGAGGGAGATACTAGCTTTATGCACTGACCTTTCTTTTCTACTTATCTCGCTTTCTCCCTCCACGTAGCAATTTGCTTTAGACTTGCTTTGAGTCTTTGCGTCAGAAGGTTGGTTTTTTTTTTTTTTTGCTTTCTCTTGTTCACCTGAATGCCCCCATAAATACTAATGTTCGTTGAGCAGAACTTTCATCGTCAGTTTCTGTGAGAGTTGTCTTAACAGAAGAGGCGTGTTACGTGGTTCGTCTTAAGCAGATAGATATATTTTTTGCATTGAGTCTATGGGAAACCAAACAAATATTCCCGAGTCGTTCGTCTTAACCAACAATTATTCTTAACAGAGTAGGGAGTTCAGTGTATATGCGTGCCTTTCCATGGTGATGAGTAGACAGCGCACACTATACCATTGCGAAGGCTTGCTGCTGTTCGGGTTTCATTTGACGCTGATAGCCCTTGTTACTCCTTTTTAATAACCTAATTGTAATAACATTCATGTCTTGGAGAAGCACTACCTGCTTATACATACTTTGGTTACCACTGCCAGTCGTTTCTTTCTCTTTGTTAGAAAGATGAACTTTTGTGGACTGTAAAAAAGTGTGCCAGTAATTACCTCAATAAACTACTGTATGCTTATTTTTGAAATGTGACAAAAATTTATATATTGAAGTTTGTTGTGCAATAGCTTTGGCAAAAACTGGAACAAAAATTCTTTTTCACAGTGTGAATCGTAAATTTTAAATAATTCTACAACATGGCACTAATTTTTATTACAATTTGCAAGTTTTGTAACTAAATTATTTGAATCTACATGTGTACATGTAATTACTAACATCTCAACATCTCCTATTTTTGAAATGTGACAAAAAGTTACATCTTGAAGTTTGTTGTGTGATAGCTTTGACACAAACTGGAACAAAAATTCTTTTTCACGGTGTGCATTGTAAATTTTAAATAATTCTGAAACATGGCACTAATTTTTAATACAATTTGCAAGTTTTGTAACTAAATCATTTGAATCTACATGTGTACATATAATTACCAACATCTCAAGCACATCTTACAGTACATAAAGTTAAATACATATTTGAACCTATCCCATCAAAACATAAAATGATACAGCTCTGATAAGCTTATTTATGGCAAAAAGAAAAAAAAAATGTTGGGATGCTTTGCTGCACTATAGTAAAGTGCATCATGGAATCGGTCTGCTGAAAGAAGTACGAGCCTATTCTTCAGCAAGGATGCACTTGAGAGTGCCCCTTACTTGGCTGGCAGTGAGTCGATGTCTCGAATTTCTCTGGTCTTCAATAATGTGAAGCCATCCACAACATAAAAGTGCTCTTTCCCAAACAGCAATAGGCCTTCACATGTGTCAAGGCCTTGCACCCGTGCACACCGGAACATGTGAGTGATCTGGAACAAGAGTTGGCCTACGTGAGAAACTCCAACACCAAATTTGCGTACCACTGCAGAGTTACTGGAGAAAACTCCGGCGCTGTGATTGTTAGGAAGAATGGTTAGCACATATGGTTTTGTCGAGTCTTTGCACTCATGAGTTGAGACGTTCTTGTGACAGTAGCATTCACTATAACCAGGGAATTGTATATTAGTAGTGGTAGTTTTATAAGCATGTTCAGGCAGTCGGTCTCTGTGCACATGCATAATCACTGTAAATTATTGTATCTATCTGCACTGCCTGCCATCTTTTGCTGAAATTGAGCGACTTGCCAAGTTGCAAAATTGTCTGATGCCAGAAGGAAAAGTTTACGCAAATCCATGTTTGTACACTAACACTCACTATGCTTCCACATCAAAAGCTCCAGTAGACATTAGCATTAGCAGTGCTTCCAATAATCTGCGAAAAAATCTGCGCACAACCACCGCTGTTTATGAATACAGATGTAAATAAAAATGTTAAGTTGAAACATACTTACAGCAGCTTCTGTAACGGCATACGTGAGTTTATTTTCCAGACGGAAGAGTTGCAGAATCACCATCTTAAGCATTGACCTTATTATCCTGCACCTCACTATGCTCTTCCCCTCTAGACATAGCATGAGCTAATAAGATGCTGCTGGGATAACCAGATGTTTCCCTAACCAAAGTAACCTATCTTGTTGAAGATTTGCTTCAGACTAAAGCTGGCCATATTCACCTGCAGCTATTTATTTCAAGGGCCAAAGAAACAAACTCATGGAGTTGACAGATGGGCCGATTTTAAATCTCATACTTTTCAATGTTGTGAAGCTACAGACTGGGAAACCAAAAAGGTACACTTTCTTCCCTTAGTATAACAGTGATTATATGGCCAAACTTTTTCACACAGAACCATGAAAGGTGTTCATAGTCATGCTTCATCAGTCCCACTTAAGACACATAGGTGGGAATTTAGGCATGAGAAGACTCTACCACAAATGGACCTCCATATTCAGTTATAAGCCAACTTCCCTGAACCTAGCTCATACATAATAGAAAAAAAAAACAATATACAATGCTACTAAGTAAATAGCTACTTGAAAGAAACATTAAAGAGACAAAATGATTTCACATGTTTTAGTAGGCTACAATTAAAATCTTGAGCTAGTACCAAACCCCCTCCCCCTTCTTCAGAAGATTTCAAATGTGCGGTCTCTTCTCCCTCCCACCATTTTCCCCATTTCATTCACTGCTTTTATGCGTAGGAACAAAAACAGTGAACGCATGCATATTCAATAAAACAGTTCATTAGTAGCACAGGGGCGCATTATTTACTCTTAATGGCTCTTCCATCACCATCTTTTATTTGAGAGTCTCCCCACACAATTCTTGTGGAATCAGTCTTCAGTGTAAAGGGGGGTGGTGCTTGCTTGGCATTTTACGGTAGTACCCCTCATAATACCAAGAGTTCCACTATTGATGCAAGAAAATGTTCAATAAGGCAGAAGATGCGCAGATAGTAAATACAGATGCCGCTGCCTTGAAGTGTCCACACCAGCTAGCTGCGATGACAAAGGCTTTGCAAAAGTCTGTCGGGGCCCACACAATTCTTGATCAGTAATAATGAACTACATTATGTTCTAATGGAGAAAGAGAGATATAACATGGCTAATTTTAGCAACTTTTATTCTAACAATGAGGCAAAAATGAAAAAAAAAATGAAAATTCATCCTGCCCAAATGAAGACAAACCTTATATATATCAAAACTGTGTCTCCAGCAACGTTTTCTGTTGAACTACTGCATGAAAATAAGTTTGTTATATCCATAAATTTGTTATAAAGGTTTATTCTTAACACTAAACATACTGCGAGACCATTTTTCATTTACTTTGTTATAACCAATATTTCGTTATACCCAGACTCGTTATATCGAGGTTTAGTGTATTTCTAATCACTTTAAGTTTCCATCTTCTCTTGATCTTCCATCTTCTCTTGATGATTAGAATGCTATATCACAATAAATTTCATGTTGGCAAGTGAACAGCTACAGGCTTACGCATGCTAACATTCCAAACAAGGTGCAAGCCAAATATAGATTTTTGAAATACTTATCCTTGAGCCACACACTTGAGGGAAATGAGTTTTGCATAATCCTGAGACTCCGGTTGACCTCTCAATTTACCAAGTAAAGAATTGCTAATAATGCCAAATGCATTTTGGCAGCATTACCGAGGCTTTGCTTGGTAAATTGAAATGTGAGCTTAATGGGTTGGGTTGCAGCCTAATTCGAGCAGGCTAGGCTGAGAATGATTTTGCTGTCTACTCAAACTAAATTGACTATATATTTAGTGAGTGAGTAGGTAGGCCATACTTACTTTTCTGGCCTGTGGATATGAGACAACAATTTATATAAATTGTAACAGTGAACCTTCGAACTCCTTTCAACCACTACATTCTAAACAAAAAAAAGTTATAGAGAACATAAAAGTGAGAGAAAAAAATCAGGCCTTGTGTTCTAAACAACTATTCTAAACAAAACAAATGAGAGGGACTTCAAATTTCCCCCTCCAACAACACAACCCTGCTTGCGTGCATGACCTGGCATGGGCATGTCATGTGAGTGTAACCTTGAATGTAAACATTCGACAGATGTCTGTCTGGTTGGGTAGGAAAACTGGGAAATGATTTAAACTCCAGCTTAAAGGTCAAATTTCCCCCTCCAATATATCCAAGTTTCTCTCTTATATCATTACAATACTGTTCTTGATTACTGATGTACACAAAATAATCCAATTCCACAAACCTTTTCACCCTTTTCTAAAAGGCGAAGCACGCTCTGGTTGTCTGGTGATTCATCTTTACGAGCAGCACCTTCCTGCTCTGAAGCGTCCAACGTAGGGTCCTGGCTTTCACTGTCCTCGTCCTGTTCACCACTGACACTGCGATTTGCCTGCAGTCTAGTGCGCAGGCCTTGAAAACCTGGGCATCGCAAAAATGCATCACCAAAACGGTTGTGAAGTAGTAAGCAGAACCTATTCTCTGCAAGATTAACAACTGCAGTTTTCTCTCCCTTAAAGAAAAAAAAAAGTCTTTATTTATTGTCCTGCTGTCATGAAAGTTACCACGCATGTGTACCTTTGAATGGAGATTTCAAATCTGCCAACAGATCTCAAATATCTCATTTAGCAAAAAAGTAATGACAAATTTCCACATTATAATTAGGTAATTTCTTATGGGTCATTATGGTTGCTCACAATAAAAAAAATTAGTTTTCTAAACTGCATTTTTTCTCTAAAAGGTTCATCCCACAGGCTAAAGCAAACTGGATGTCAAAACGGTTATTTCTTTCATCAGAAATAATTTTTAAACTCGAAAGGTAAAAATGAGCTTCCAGTAATTAGCTGGTATTTGTCATATATTTACAATTCTATCAAGGTTGTGAGAAAAAGAAAAGCTTTAGCCTGTATTTCAAGTGCTGCGCAAAATAATAGTACCAAGTTTGTTTGAATATCTTCACAGAAATTTGCTCAGAACTTCTGTAAGACACATTCACTTCACAAAAATAACAATGCCAAGAAAATTATTATGTTTTCAGTTTCAAATACATTTGTAATTTGATATATTAAGCTTTTAACAAAAATAAATGGTATTTTGCCATAATATAAAACTTTTCTAAAACATAATTCCGACTAAAGATACCTCAAATTGCAATTTCTTAAAGTCAGCACTTTTTACAATTTTGTGCTATTTTAAGGCCGTCATCCCCCGTTATAGAGTGCTAGAGTTACTTAAAAGCTTCACACAAACTCATACAGTTATTCCACAGCGACAGCGATTTCGCATGAATTGTGAGACATCAAGAAATGTGAGGCAACCACAGCATTGGGGGCTCTCAAACACTGTGGAACCATCAGCAACCCTGCCATGAAGATGCATGCCTATTGCTGTGGGTACTCAGGCAGACTGCCACAACACAAAACCATGTACATGACGACAGTGCTCCTTTAGATGCCATACACCGACCACACAGAGCACACTGTTTCATCACCCAAGAGTGTTGCCAGACTGCTACATGGTGCAAGTGTAAAATATTAAAATTTAAATACAAATTTCCTACAGAACGAATGTGCACAGCTTTGCCAACTTGAAATATTTACCATGCAACGAATAATTTATCAAATATGACGTTTCAGCCCCCTTAACAAAGACAAAAATAGAAAATATTAGGGAATATAAGTTCATACATTACACTTAAAGGCATCCACAATAACATGAAGGTGTGTGAGAAAACAGCATGTACTGACTAATTGAAAATTCAACACACCAAACTTTATGGAAACTTGAAGGTAACAAAGTGAATGAGCCGCTCAAAAGTGAGCAACCGTAAGACTGTGCTACTAATGAACAACATATTAAGTCAAAGGACTACAAGACAGCTGAACAAAAGCTAATAAGTTAACTGCTTGGCGTGTTTAGAAAAGCATGAACGAAAAAAGAAGGATATAACAGAGGGAAAAAACTGAAGCTAAGAAAAAAAAAAGAAAATGTGAAAAAGAAAAGGAAAAGAAACATACAAGTTCCTTTGAAGAGCCAAGATTCTGAGATGCCGTATGAACAGCAACCTTCAAAGAGGAACCTGGTAGCAAGTCCCACAGTGTGGCGAGATCACTATTATTCCTTAATTTTAAACCTTTTGTCAGGAGCAAGAAATGTACTTGATTGTCTCTGCTTTCACTTTTCACAAGTGAAACGAGCCACATGTGGAGGCCCATAAATATTTGTTATTTATTTTACTAAAATATTACCTGAAAAATATGTGGAACAACACCTGTCCCACTGATCACTTGAGGCCATAAGCAATGGTGGGACAAATGTTGTCCGTTTGCCCGTTTTGGGCTTCATCTTTTCGGTCTCTTAAATGATTATGGATATTTGTTAAAGAAGTCAGAACATGTAAAACAAAGGGGCAATCTTGAAACTCCACATGCCTGTGACACTGTCAAGCACCACCAGCACCATTTCCATGTAAGGCAGGTGCACGGGCAGAGCTCTGACGTCGTGTAAAATGCGCGTGTGACAACACTATGAAGCATGCCTTGTCACCTTGTTTCAGTGTTTTAATGTCATATAGAACCATAATATATGAATCAGAATCGTCATGAAATGTTTTTGAAAATGTTTACACATAAAAAACAAATATGAAAAGGGCTTATCAAGCCGATTCTTCAGCACTACGTTGAGCATATTTGCAGGCACATAAAAAAAAAAAGGCTAAATATGATATTGAACCTGTCTACAATGATTTCAAGGGCATTTAGGAGTGCACGTAAATTTTGCACTTGCTGGACATCTTATTTACGGTGAATGAGCAACCAAACCCAAGCACATAATGAGTGACCACTGTGAAAAAACAGGGCAACAAGGAAAGCACCTCTATCTACTAGTGCCCCATTCCACTTCAGATAGAAACTGAAAATTACAGGTGTTGTATGTTCTATGCAATGAACTACTTCTGTCGGCCTATGTATGTTCCTCCGAGCCCTTGAGGCAGTTCTTACTAGTGGTTGCAAGTCAGACATACTATATGGTATTTCCCAACGACCAATGAAGGGTTAACTCTTTCGTTACCACGCCTATTCAAATCAATCACCGGCGATCGATGGGTTGAATCGCCGATTTTGGCATGTTAAATTTGTTTCTTGTGCACCCAGCACTTTCTGGTAGTTGCTCCAGCCACTCAACTTTCAGAATCAATTTGAATTTGCTCGTTTTGTCAACATGGTGATTTTTGGCAGACCTTTGTGCCAACCAATGTGCGTGTGTTGGAAATCTGCACTAGGGTGGCGAACTCGTGCCCCTTGTGATTATGCTACTGTATCATCGAAGTTATGTAATGAAAAGAACCTTTGCAAGTCAAATATCGAATGACAGTGTTGAGCAGTAATAGTTGCCAGAAATTTATGCCAGCTATTCAAAAGAGAGTGGTTGCTAGGAATCAGGGAACATTTATTTTACAAAAAATATTTCCGAAGGTCTGCCGCACGTTGAAGGTGTCGAGGTGGCCTTCTCAGCCAGTTTCCAGCAGCTTTTGTTTTTCTTGTAGTATTGTTATATTAGAAACAGGGTCGGATCTAGCGTCACTAGTCGCTCCTACGGTGTCAGCGTCACACGCACATAGTGTGCACTGGCGCTGAAAAACACACATGCCGCTCGAAACTGTCTTGCAACTGCACCTGAATTGAGTGAGGAAAAGCTTAGAGTTCGAGGTTGACAGCATCGTCAGCGTCAGGTTTCATGGCGACAACATTTTGAGTCAGCTTGAAACATCCGCAGCCATTCATGAGTTTGTTTTGTTTAGAGCCTCAAGTTGTCACCTCCGCCGCAAATTCGTAGCTGCCGACTTTTGTGCACAATCTTATAGCTACTCTGGTTACTTATGAGGTCTACACTTCGCTAGGGAGCGGTGTGCTGACACAGGCTGCAGATCTTCTTTTAACGACCACAGGGCCACCGGAGCATATCTTAGGCGTGACTACGGAGCAGTGCGAGACGTTTTAGAACTGCACGCGATATCATTGTTTTTTTAATATGATGGTGTGTAAAATGCTAAGAAATATGCTTGGATGCATATTCATATGGGTGCATATGCAAACCTATGCAGAGTAAGCTGGCTCATCGAAAGAGGTGACACTAGACGAAATAGCGAAGTTCATTGGACATTTCATTTATAAAAAGATTATTCATATCACGGGCATCCATCTGTATTAGAAGACCTGGAGGCTCTTATTGCAAAAAAAAAATCACTGAGAAAAGTGTACGAGTTCACTTGTGTCACACGAAAAACTAAACAATGCTTCGCCACAAGAGATGAGCAACAAAGTAGCACCTCGGTTTTGGTTTTTTTTTTTGTCTACTTGGAACATTTTGCACAACATTTATTATTTTTTATACTGTTTCAGGGTTATTTATCTTCAAAATGTATACCATAAATTTTCTTTGTTCTGAATATTTTTGCATTTATAATGTTTTTATTGTACTGTTTGGCAATAAAAATCACACACTTCTCACATTTTTTATTCATTCCAAAATATTTTGTTGCTCTAGAACATATATTTTTTGGAAAGAGCATTTCATTGTGTAAAATTTGGTATGCCGAAATGCGTGCTTTAGTTCTTTTCAAACTGGCAAGAACAATCTTCCCGAGACATATGAAAGATAACCACTTCCGGGCGGTAACGAAAGAGTTAATAAGCTTTCAAGCATCACTGCCTGTAAAAGATTTAACACATATCAGAGGGGCCTGTTATCATTTCATGGCAATAATGTGACCATAGAAATTATGTATACACCCAACTACACTGTGGCACAGTTGGGTGCCTATACATATATTCCTATAAAAGACTCAGCCAAAAGCAAATGTATCCTGATAAAATAAAATCAGCATTGACAAAGATTGCTCCTTTGCTCATGCTCAAAGCATCTCAAGGGCGTATGCTGTGATATGGGTCAACTGGTTGCTTGCATTTGTCAAATAAAATGACGCCCCTTTTTTGTAGCCACCTAAGTGAGTGAAGGAATACCATCACATATGTACAGCGTTGTGTATTATGCAATTTCTTCACCGACAGCGAGACTGTGAACCAAATGTTACTATCACCCAAAATAAATATCATCCTCTTACAACCCACAAGCCATGAACCAGATGCTAGTGGCAATAGCTAAAGAGTAAATAATAGCATTCACCAGCTACTGAAATCTCGAGCACACGATGGGAAAGTCATACTGGAAAATACCTATTTCTCGCTCCTCAGTGCTGTCCCCTTCCTGAGGCCAGTCATCAGATGTGATAGAAATGACATCGGGGGAAAAAGTGTCATGCTCTACAAGGCTGTCTGGCCGGCAATGCTTGTAGTACTCCTTGCTATCGAAGCTCGTGGCAACCTTGTACTTCAAGGCACGCTGTCATGAATGTAGAAAAGAAAGAAAAGGAAGTCACTTCTAATTAAGCAATGCCTTTTATAAACAGCAACAGTGTAGCAGTTGTGCAAATTAAAGCAAGTGAAAAGGCAAACAGGAAAGTGCCATATATGTATTGCAACACTGCAAGTTCCCAACATATGTGGACATAGGGAAAACATAGGATATCAGTCGAACACTTCAATGTTCTTCATATCAAGTAACTGCCACAGGTATACCAAGCCCCAATAAAGCAACACTACCCTCGTTATCTTTAATAATGCATAAAAGAAAAACCTCTTATTTTTATGTGCATACATTCCCTAAGTAATTTTTAGATTATCAATTTTTTAAGCACTTACAGTCGTTCCGAGTACGTTTACCGACATCGACATATAGTATTCATGCTTGCTGGTACATTACTGAAAAAATTATAAACACAAACAAGAGACAAGCAACCTTGAAGACCTACCACCTAGCTACTTTCATACCTTTCTAGAACTGCTATGTAATCCAGAGAGCCAATGTACAAAGTCAAATGAAATTTATTAAAACACACAACATTCACTCAAACTTCGTTATAATGTAATGGGATATAATTAAATAATGGATATAGTGAAGTAAACAAAATTCCCTTAAAAGCTTAATTGAGAACCATGAATTTTAAACCTCATTGTAACGAAGTAAAATTGACTGGTAAATGGATATACTGAACTAAATTAGTCTTTCAAATAGTCTCAGAAAAAAAAAAAATTGACCGTAGTGTGTTAAGTATATCATGTTCTGTGGAGTTCGACGCTCAATGGGCGTGGCTCTTTCAAAACTACTGCGCCGACCTTACAACTACGCCACATGCGGCAGAGAGAGCCGTCCTCCTCACACAGCCACGGCCAGGCTAGACTGCACCTTCGGCTCCCTTCTTACGGCCTTCGCAACGAATGTCGCACATGCCTCTCGACACTCGTTTGAGGAGGGCGCTGCGACCCTGCCATCTTCCGCCACTCCGTACAGCGTGCGAACACATGAGTTCAGGCGCGCTTCTCCACTCACCACGCATTGAAGAACAAGTTGCCTAATTGTTGAAGGCACAGAAATGTTTTGTTTTGACTTCTTATTTGCGCTAGGTGCACTGAGCTTAAGTTAATTGAAAAATGTGTAAATTTAAAGGTCCGAAGTACAGCTGTCCGCCATCAAACCTGTAGACATTCCGAGGTCTGAAAATAAATATTTATCGCTCATAAGCACTGGCAATACGTAGTTGAACAAAGTGAAAAACTTTCCCGGATTTCACAAATGTCTTGTTCACAGCCTAAAATGCTTCCTACTCGGCTTGTGTGTGTAGGTGGAAGGCTTGTCGTTTGCGTCAGTCAGTTGTTTGTGTGGTTGACGAGGACATTTCTTAGGAATTTTTCGGCTATGAGATCTGCGGATCGTCCGGAGTGCCTGTCTTTAACGCTTTCAGGGCAGCATAAGATGGCAGCGCGATGAAAGTAGGTCTGGACTGCTGTTTGCAAAACTTTTAGCACATTTATGTGTGGCAGGTGTTCAGAGGCTATATCGAAAAAGACCACTATCTTGTCCAAAAGAGCTAGAAACTCAGGCCTTGGGTAGTGTAATTCGCCTCTCTCTTGTGCTTGCAGCAGCTTGTACAGCTGATGCTGCTTGTTGTTGGTCGTCAACAGCGCAGCGCAAGAGTCGAATCTGAGGTCTGTAATAAGCTTGGGGATGTAACCGCCAAGACGTGCCAAGCCGGAGAAGGTGACAGATGGAGATGGACAAGCCTCGTGCTTCAACAAATGTCACAGGTATCAAGTATAATCGATATCATCGCAGCCTCTTCCTCAACTTCCACATTTAATAACTTGATTTCTTTCGGTCTTGGCATGTGGAACTTTACTATGTGGTCCAGAGCAGCGGTGACGGCTCTAGCATTTAGCATGTCGTTTTCGCCGCACATTGACCGCACCCTTCCGAAGATTGCTTTGACGGGGTCACTGTTCAATTTCTTTCTCAGGACATAACTGACGCCTTGCTCCAGGAGGAATTATGTCGTTTCCATCGTCGACCTTGTTGTAAAAAGCAAGGCTTCGTACGTCTCATCGGTAAAGCCAGTTCTCACTGATCCGATGGAACTCTTCTGTACTTTTTTCACTTATGAGATAAACTCAACCTTCAGCCACAGTAGGCGATTGTCATCGCTCCTAAAAGTGGGAGCTTTGTGTCCGCTTTCATTGAATGAAGTGTCATAAATGTCAAACCATTTCTTCATGGACTTCATGATGAAAATGGTTGAACTTGCTTCCTTGAAATCTCTGGCAGCACCCGTGAAATTTTGCTGAAGGTGCTCTACGGCTGCTGACACTTGAAAGGCGAAAAGTTGAACTGCTCGCAGCATAATAATTTTTTACAAATTGAAAGAATAGACATGTTTCCTCATCAAATTTTGCGCCAGCTTCACAGTCTTGTGTTTTTGATGCTCCTATAATTTCTGCACAAACGCACCACTAATCACTCCTTTTCCATCTGTAAGTTCACGTTCGAGGAACTGGTTTCTAACCTTTTTGAGCAAGTGGCACGGGTCAGAACTCAGAAGGATAACGCGGTTGGCGCCGTGTGGATGACGTACAACTGTGTTGAGGTTGCCGTAACCCATGTGCTTAAACATCGTCACATTTGCTAAATAATTGTCTGTGACAATGCGAATGATGATAAAGCCACATTATTCCACAGCAGCAATGACCTCCTTCATCCATGCAAAAAGGTCTCCACCGTTCAGTTGTTTCATGAAGTAGTACGAGCATGCAATCTTGTACCGACTAGTGGTACCATGCAGCACAAAGCAGAGGACTCTGTTCGCAACGGCTTCTTTCGCTCCCTGGCTTGTCCTTGAGGCCAAAGACTGCATCAGCCTTCCTATCATAGATGCACTTTTGTTTTATGCTAGCTTCATCCATTATTAATGAGGCCATATGTTGTTTGCTGCTGAGTAGCAAGGCATCGTGAACCTGACGGTCGTTCATAGCATTGCTCATACCCGATGATGTTGGGCTTGGACCTATCAACCTCTAAAGAGAGCACTTTGCTGGCAGTGTCATAATCCCCGAAAAGCGAGCGTGATCGTAGCCTTTTGGGGACAGAAAGCGCCATATCACACACTCCCTAACAACTTCTTCTGGGTACGCTGAATGCTTATCTCCGTAACATTCTATTTGATGCAAAAGAAACACAGCCTTTTTCTCTCCTTTCTGTGCATCTGTTGCGATTTTCTCAACACACGCATGGTGCTTATTTTCGTGATAATATGCGGACACCTTTTCCTCTTCTTTCAACAACTGCTGCACTTTCTCACATTTAGAACGATGGTAAGACACTTGGGAGTGTAATCTTCCTATCGTAGCCAGGTATCGACCCGTGCGATGAGCATTGCTGTCCATTGTTTGCGTGCAAACACTTACTGCTTCTTGTTCAGTGAAAGCATCTTGTGAATTCGCAACATCCAGGTCTGGTTCGTTGGTCTCCGCTTTCCGCTTCCTTGATGTTTGGCGCAGGGGCAAAGCTTGTGAAGCAGGATCTTTGCAGGACTTTTAGGAGCGAAGCTCCTTAGGGCGTGGGCTGTGCGTCCCCTGTAGCCTGTATGTAGCCACCTCTAGTTTAGTTCTTGCAGTGTTCACTAGATGGCGGTACCGTCCCCTGTATGTAGCTACCTCTAGTTTAGTTCTTGCAGTGTTCACTAGATGGCGGTACCGTCTCCTGTATGTAGCCACCTCTCGTTTAGTTCTTGTAGTGTTTACTAGATGGTGGTACTTGTAGCTGATGATGAAAAGATGCAAGATGTTATAAACTAGAAAGCGGTACTTGTAGTTGATGAAAGACGCGAGATCTTATAAAATAGGAATGATGTCACATATGGCGCGTGTCATTGGTTGAAGGCAATCGTTCGATTTAGTGCGGCGACGTACGCTAGGGGGAGCGATGTAATAAAATCGAGTGGGCAAAATGTACAGAGGATTCATGGTTTACCAGGTTTACCTCCGGAGCTTCGCCCACTCATCATCATTCACTTCGTGGATATGGCGGAATTTTTTTTGAACTTGGTCTCATGTAGGAAGGATAGTCTTCGAAGAGAGTGGGCGCAGAGTCGGGAAGTAGTTTTCTGATGCGGCATGCAGGCACATAGTCTACATCGCAAAAATGTTTGTTGCATACGAGTCGATGCAGACTTATCGTTGATGATGAGGTTTTCTCTTGGAATATTCTTTTGCCATTTAGCGCATAGTTCAGCATTGCTTGGGAATTGGTAAAAAGAAACACCGGCTGTTTTCCTTGAACAGGACTTGCAATATGGAACACAACAGTACACCATCACACATCTAATATATATTCATACGTACTGCTCGAACTGAAGCTTGTACGACTGTCTTCTAGAGTTGAAAAATCACTGCAGACTGAACACTGAAAAAGCTCTGAACAAAATGCAGCCGCGATGGGTAAATACCAGAATAAAGCAAGTCTCACTAGAGGGAAAGAGAAATCGGCAACAACCTGTTTGTAGAGCCACAAGAGAAGTAAAAAAAAAAGGCGGTCTATTTGCCGAAAAGTTGGGATGTCAGTTTCTCTTCCTAAACATGTTTTTCCACGAACTCGAAGTACAGCTCAGAAATAATTTGCACTAGAGATTCTAGTTCGAAAGCTAGCGGCTTGCAAGCATGAACAGCTGCATTCTTCACATTATTCATGGATGTGGCTTGCAGTACAAAGGAACACAAAAGAGCTCGTGGTCTTCGGAATAAATGTTTACAGGTGGTGTTAACACCTTGACAATGCACGCCACTCCTCCAGGGCATGTCATCCGAAGGGGTTATTCAGCAGCAAAAGTCAACCTTTTTTTAACTTCCATTTTTAACCGTTAGAGATACAAGTCAGCTACGTGTTTGAAAGAGCTGTCAAGCAGCAGTCTGCAGCTTTTAGCCCTGAAAACCACTACAAATGCATTTGTCAAAATA